CATATGATCCCCCCATAAATATAGTTCTTGTCAAGAGAGATTTACTGAGTATTATCAGCCAGCACAAATTTCTTTGTAGATATAGAGTACCTTGGTAGTACTCTGGTAATCTGAGGTTGATGTTATGCAGACAATGTTCAAACCGGAGACTTGAGAAGAACGTTAGTTCTCCTTACTGAGGAACAGGTTTGTTTATTTATTTGTTATATATAGTGACGGCAGGAAGAGCCAGGAGAGGAAAGTATCCAGTATCAATAATCATCTGATGGATGCTCTGTGCTCCTGCTCAGAAATAAAAGGTGTCCCTGGGTGGAAAACGTTGCATCAAAAGTCAGCTGGTGGCACCACAAAACCAGCAACAAATATGCTAAAGCAGTGGTGAAATGTAAAATTTGTTACTACCGGTTCTGTGGGCGCGGCTTCTTGGTGGTGGTGGTGGGTAATGTGACTGGGTGTGCGTGGCCTTTTTTTTTACTTTTAAAAGCATTTTTTCTACAACCTTAAGAGGCTGCAGAAAAAAATGCTTTTAGAAGCCTCTGACGATCCCAGCTGAGCCGCGTGATTATCAGAGGCTTTTTCTTTTTACTTTTAAAAGCATTTTTTCAGCCGAAGAGGTTGTAGAACAAATGCTTTTAAAAGAAAAAAAAAAAAGCCTCTGAGCATGGCTCAGCTGGGAACGGGGGGGGCGGGGGCGTGCAGGGATTTTTGCTACCAGTTCTCCAAACCACCCGCCGCCATTGCTACCGGATTGGGCAATCCGGTCCGAACTGGGAGCATTTCATCCCTGTGCTAAAGGTTCCTCTGAATAAACAAGCAAACAAACGAGCTGATACTGGATTATCTTCTAACATCTGTTGTACAGGAAATAGAAAACATTCTCCAATACATTTTATTTTGACACTCCAACCTACATATAGCAGCAAGCAGAATGCTGGTTATATGAACCACAAGAAAGCAATGCAGGCACCTCCACTAGCTTCCTGCTCACCCACAGCGGAAGTGTCAAGCTACAAACTTAAATTTAGTATCGTTTTTGTGGCTCAGAATGCCTCTAGCTTCCTGATAGACCCCATATTTATATTTAGAAAATAAAAATGATAAACCCAGCCCAGTATTTTAGCTGTACAAACCCCCATAATACTATAAGTATCAATAACTGCTGGAAGGATTCCTATGAATATGGATATCTCCATGATTTTAAGAATTCAAAACCACTCTGAGGAAGCCCTGCAGAAGAGGAAAGTCTTCAAATGAAAGGATAAATGAATGGGGGGCAGACTAACCCCAGAGGGGGCTGCCAATGTCAATGTCATTTTCTGGGTTTCCAAACCCTTTGATTTCTCTACGGGTAAGAACTCATAGCATCCTCTTCAGGTCAAATTCTATTTGGAGAAGACCATCCTGAAGGTAGCAAGGTGCCAAGTTTCAAGCGGTGACCTGTAAAATTATTGGTGGTTTAGAAACATCATGCATAAAAAATTGACTTCTCATATAGCCTCTTGCCCATCAACGGAAATATTCAAAGGCCCGCTTTGTTTCTGTGAGCGGTCATAAATGTTGAGGACAGATAGTTGTGATATAATCATTTCAAAGAAACAAACCAACATTATCTGAGGTAGGGGCATTATAAAGCAGCACTGTGGATCATATATGCTGTAGTGAATACCAATTCAATTTTAGAGAAGAAGATTTAAGTCGCAATATTAGACTCCAGTCACTTTAAACAAACACCAATATAACCAGTGGTGGATTGCTACCAGTTTGCCCCAGATTGGGCGAACCGGTAGTGGCAGTGGCGGGAAGCTCTGCTCACCCGCCTGGACGCTTCTGTGCAGAAGCTTCTGCGCATGAACGAACCAGTAGCAAACTACCCGTGTTTCCCCAAAGATAAGACCCTGTCCTATATTTTTTTGAACCCCAAAATAAGCGCTTGGCCTTATTTTCGGAGAGGTGTTATTATTTTGGGGCACGTGGAGGAAACTAGAGGAAATGGTGGGGACCGGCTGCCCATGCATTTAAATATTTTCAGAGAGGGCTTATTTTAAGGGGGGGGCTTATTTTAGTGCATGCACTCAAAAGCCCGATTGGGCTTATTATTAGGGGATGTCTTATTTTAGGGGAAACAGGGTAAATTGATACCCACTACTAAATAAAACCATTAGTATATAACCATTGCTAAAAGTAATGGCATTCTCATTTTCTGGTATACACCCATTGTCCTCTATCCAAATGAAGGAACTTAGAACATATCTGATTAGCCAAAAAACAATTGGCCAAAAAACAGCATAGAGCATGAAGAAAATATTGGAGATTTTATGAATATGCTGCTTTTATACTATTATTTAAGGTTGAAAAACAAGTTTGAAATCAAAATCACAATCTACCACAATATCTATACTGTGTTTCCCCGAAAATAAGACCCTGTCTTATATTTTTTTTTGAACCCTGAAATAAGCACTTGGCCTTATTGCCATGTGCTCAAGAGCCCGATTGGGCTTATTATCAGGAGATGTCTTATTTTGGGGAAAACAGGGTGTAATATTTTACTGTTAACTTGCCAGGCCCAAGCCTGAGACAAGACAGCAAAATCCAATTGAATCCAATCCTTTAATTACACCTAATGGACAGAATCTTGCCAAACTAAAGCTATAATCTTCTAATCTACTAGATATACCAAGAGATTCTAGGGTGCTGCTACCTTAAGCTCTTTCCCCTCCCTAATCCATCTTGGGACTGTGGAGTCTCTGAATTTGGGCAGATCTCTGGGAAAGCCCTGTGTTGCTAACCCCTTCCCCCCATTCCTGCAGGTGCACATTCCATTATATAACATGTCTTTTAGTTATAGACTATTGTATGTTGATATACAATATTATGTCACATAGAATATATTTTATATATTAACATACAATATTTAAGCAGTAATTTTTTTTTAAAATTTGATTTATATGCCGCCCTTCTCCGGAGACTCAGGGCGGCTTACAATGCATTAAGCAATAGCCTTCATACTTTTGTATATTTATACAAAGTCAGCTTATTGTCCCCACAATCTCGGTCCTCATTTTACCTACCTTAGAAAGGATGGAAGGCTGAGTCAACCTTGAGCCTGGTGAGATTCGAACTTACAGTAATTGCAGACAGCTGGTGTTAATCACAATGCTTTTAGTCTGCTGAGCCACCAGGTCCTTCATTTGAAGTACAGATAGTCCTTGACGTACGACTATTTGTTTAGCAACAGTTCAAAATTACACCAGCACGGAAAAAAGTGACTTCTGACCATTTTTAATGTTTGTTTTTAACTTTTTATGTTTTAGCTTATATGTAACTGTAAGCCTCTCAGAGTTACCCTAAGGTAAGATGGGCAGCCAATAGATTTTATAAATAAATAAAAATATTTTTCACACAACCGTTGCAGCATCCCCATGGTCACATGATCAAAATTTGGATTCTTGGCAAGTGGCCTGAATTTATGATGGTTGCCGTGTCCGGGGTCATGTGATCATCTTTTGCAACCACCTGACAAAATCAATGGGGAAGCCAGATTCACTTAACAAATTGCAGCAATTCACTTAACTGTAACAAGAAAAACCATAAAGGGCAAAATTCACTTAACTGTCTTGCTTTTGCACTCAATTGGTCGTAAGTCAAGGACTACCTATAAATGCATGTTCCATGAAGACAAAAATATTACCCAACAAACGTCATTGGTTATATTGAATATGTATTATCTGGCTCAGTGGTGGGTTACTCCCGGTTCGGACCGGTTCGCGATCCCGTTGCGAACCGGTAGTAAAGGTAAGTAGAACCCACCCGTGATCTGGCTGCATTTTATTTATACAATGGTAGCACCAAATGCATTTTCATATTTCATAATTTTTTCAAGTCCAGAGGAAATTGTGTTCATGTTTAAGGAGAGTTATATCCTCTCAAAAGGTCATGTCGCCATAGTTATTAACTGAGAAATGCTTTTGAAATGCTGAATTATTTAAACAGTGACACATCATTTACTTTTTCAAGTAGCACTAATCAATAAGGCTACTGAAATACTAAACATGCCCTAGACACAAAGTAGCACTGTGATGATTTCATCTTTACTGCTCCCATGAGCACTGCAGAAACAAAACACTATTTTAAAAATACAGCTGCATTTAAAAAGAGAGACACCCATTTTAAACTAAAGAATTTTTTTTTGATAATCCCTTTAAAGGCCATTTGATGGCCAAAATATATACTATTAGTCACATCCTACGTCATCAATGGCCTCCAAAGAGAAACTTAATGTTTACTTGCTCCACCTCAAACCACACCTTAGAAAGCCTGCAAACCAAAAACCTTATGTGGCAACTCTTAAAATGGAATTTTAAATCTTTTTTTTTTTTTTTTGCTGGAGCTGCATCTCTTGCAGTTTATTACATAAAGCACAAATAGCTTCTTTTTTAAAAAAATTATAAAATGAAGGTTGAAAATGAAAACCGGACTGCCTTTACTGTATCTAAATATTTATCCTGAGATTACATCCAAGATTCTCAAACATGCCCAACTCTCTCTTGTTGAAACCATCCCATTCGCTGCTTTATCACCAAGCCTCGTTAAACTTTAGGGAACGCACGACGAGGGCAAACAACTGCGCACACGTTATATTCCCTCCATCTTAAAAACGGGGAAGGTAGGCCTAATTCTGGGAGTTGTCACTGCAACGGGGCCGCGGTGCTCCAGGTGGGGGAAGATGGTTCGAGGCGTTTTGGGAGCAGCTCTCCTTAACCGGAAGCCTTATTACTCCATAGGGCTGCTTCCCACATCAGAATGGCAGCCTAAACGCAATCCCATTGCAAGCGATGCCGTCCTTTTTTTCCCTCTCCCCACGGCGATCCTTCTGCAATGGGGGGCAGGGGGCAATATATATATATATATTTATATATATCTTCCCGTTGCCCTGCTTAGCTTTAGGGGACAAAGCTATTCCCGGGGTTCCACGCCACTCATCCTCCGAGGCGCGCGCTTACCCCACGATGGAAAACACCACGGCAGCCACCACGAGGTAATTGGTCTGGTAATAGAGCAGGTTGCTGACCACCCGGTTGTTCCATTTGGAGATGTCTTTGAAATCCGGCACGGCGAAGCGGTCGTGGCCCGGGATGAAATCGTCCCACGATCTCAGCGGCGCGACTTGCACGTCCATAGTGACTCTCCCATCCGGCTTTCTGCGGCAGGAGCGGCAGCAACAGCGCTACAAGAGGCGGCAGCGAGACGTCAGCAAAACCTGGTTAAGAGCGACGGGGCTGGCCAAGTTCATCAGCCTTGCATTTATGGTTGCTTTGCCTGCAAAATTAGCACAGAGAGAGAGAGATACAGAGAGAGAGAGAGAGAGAGTGACTTGGTTAAAAACTTTGAATAAAACTTTATTACGGTCCTCGACCAGCAATAGACATAGAATAAATTAAAAATAATATTGACATTAATCATGAATAGTAACATCCCTGTTATGTAAATACATAATCTCAAATCGTTAGGGTCATTCCCTAATTTACATGAGTGGAGAGCCGATAAGTATGTGAGTAAATGTATTTTTCCAATAATTGTTATTGATAGCCCCAAAAAATTGGCACCAGTTGACATCTATAATTCTGTAACCAGTTTTTTTCTTGTGGACATTGCAGCAATACTTAGCGATACTATAGTTAGTTGGTTAAAAAAAAAACCTCCACTCCTTCCTTCCTGATGTTCTCCTTCAAAACATTCTGTGAAATACCTCTGATTGGAGATTTTACTGTTAAAACAGAATAATTGAGTTGGCTTTAGTGTTTCAGGATGCGACCCCATCTAAGAATTTGAGTGAAGAGTAAGGTCAGACTTCAGTTCCATTAGATTGAATGATGATGACCTTGTTGGAAGCATGGAGGAGCAGACAGATGAAATTTATTGAAGAGCTGAAATGAACTTAAACATACTTTTTTTTTTTTTAAAGGCCAAGGTGTATTTATGCTTGTGGGATAAACATAATTATAATATACAGGAAGTGTATTTCATATGTATCCACCATGTTATTTTCTGTTAGGGTAAACAAAAGTGATAATGTGTCAAAAAAAAAAAGTGATACATAATTAGCAAAAGTGATTGAAGTGAGATTTAGGAAAAAGAAAATCTAAACTAGTGGTTAAGGTCCTGGCCTCAGAAAGAGGAGATGAGTTCTAATTCTACTTTAGGCATAAAAAAACCAGCCTGGTGACTTGGAACATTGTTTCTCAGCCCAATGCACCTGTTGAGGGAAAATAGGAGGGAGGAGTATTAGGTACCTTTCCTCCCTTGAGTTATTTATAAATAATAAAGGCACGGCGAAGCCTTTATTTGTTTATACCAACAATGTGCCCTAGAGCTCTCCTTTACTCTTTCATCCTTGCACATTGTCCTTCCTTCCTTTTCAAGGCAAAGATTTATACTCAGCAGGTGTAAGTTTATTCATATGTAAAGAATGCTTGGAGCTGTTGTACAATTTTTTCCCTTGGCCCCTAGCTCAACTGGAATAATGTGTCATTTGTCCACCTCTGAGCCAATGAAAAGTTGGCCCTATTAATGACATAACCACCCACCAGCTGGATGATAATGGTGGAGTAGATAAGGTCAATGTTAGCCTTATAACTTTTTTTTAAAAAAGTTAGGCTGAAATCCACCTGGAAACTATTTAGACATTGTTCTTGACTGATCTTAACAGTATATAATATCTTCTTTGATCCAGTTTGTTCATGTTGTATCTTGACTAGCTTACAGGTACAGGTAGTCCTTGACTTACAACCATTCATTTAGTTACTTCATTTAGCAGCACTGTTACGTGATCAAAATTTGCGCACTTGGCAACTGGCATGTATTTATGATGGCTGCAGTATCAGGCCTTTTTGCACCCTTCTGACAATAGTCAATGAGGAAGCCAGATTCACTTAACCATACTACTAAAGTTAGTAACAACTGCAGTGATTTACTTAACAAGTGTGGTAAGAAAGGAAAACGGAGCAAAACTCATTTAACAACTATCTTGCTTAGCAATGGAAATTTGGTGCTCAATTGTGGTCATAAGTCGAGGACTCCCTGTAGACTGTGTTATTCAACAGATCTTTCTCTCAAGTAAGAGTGCAGAGGCATATAGCATAATTTTCTTGCTCTGAATACTGATTTCACAAGCCTTTAACAATCTAATAAATGTTTCACTAGAAGTTTTGGAAAAATGCAAAGTTGGAGAAACAACTATTCCTTTGAAATGGTTATGTCAGTTTTAAAGATGCAATTACAGAAACTACATATCAACCAACTGTTCCAAAGGGGCAGAATCTATAATCTATAAGAAAAATCAGTGAGGAAAATGGAATACAGTTTCTCCTGCAGATCTTAACAATTGGGTTGGTTTATAGGAGAAGGGTGAGTAATTACCTCAAGTAGCTAGATCCTAAGTTTTAAATTTTCTGAATCGGGTCTAAAAATTAATTGACCACCTATGAAGACTTTTCAGTATGGGAGGGGGCCTTGTTGACTCTTCAACAGGATCTCTTCAATAACAAACACTGATTAGTTTCACTCCAGTAGCATACACCAATTAATATTGCAACATTTTGCTCCAACAAACCCTCTTTCAAGGTAGCTTATCTCAGGACACAATGGCTAATGTAGTTGCAAGTAAAGAATGACTCAGCAGCAATTCCAACTAATGCACTGAATGTAAACATATAAAAACACCTCCTTACTAATAATCTGTGAAAATCCAAGGACCAATCCATGGAACTAATCTTTCAGGGTGAATTGTCAGGAAACAAATTCTTAGAGGAGCTGGGAACACATTAGTAAACTAGAAAATACAAGGAATGTGCACTAATTGGCCTCTAAAAAGGCAACCTTGAAGTGCCTGGGTTCTCAGTAAATCTTATCAAAATTTCTGTAGCAACATAATTTGTTTCTTTCTCACTTGGATGGTTCTTTCTTGAAGATAATGACAGTAGAAGGGTGGGGAAGTAACTTGAGGTTTGAATATTTATGCTTTCATTACCTTTCATTATATGGATGTATGACTATCACTTTCTGCTCCTTTCTGAAATGTACAAATACGAGTGCATTCTTTCGTCTGCAGGCCTTCCACCACTCTCTGGAGGGAATTCCTCCAATGTGCACCATTAACAATAAATACTGCAGTGAGCCTTATTTGTTTTGGGTCCCGTGTTTTGAATCCGCAGAAAATAACCCTTCTAAAACAGACTGAACTAGGAGTAAAACTTTTTATTCAGTAATAAGCATCTCTGCCTAGACTGGATTTAATCTGTTGGCTGATTGTCAGCCAGCCCATTATAGATCACTCCTAGTAAGGTTAAAGGGTAGGAATCACTTCTTCTTTTTTTTTACAGATTAAGAGTTGGAAGGGATCTTGTAGGTCATCTAATCCAAACCCCCACCCCAGGTAGGAGACCCTACACCATTTCTGACAAATGGCAGTCCAATCTCTTCTTGAAAGTCTCAAGTGATGAAGCTCCCACAACTTCCGAAGGCAAGCTGTTCCATTGGTTGATTGTTCTCACTGTCAGAAAATTTCTCCTTATTTCCAGGTTGAATCTCTCCTTGTTCAGTTTCCATCCATTATTCCTTGTCTGGCCTTTAGGTGCTTTGGAAAATAGCTTGACTCCTTCCTCTTTGTGGCAGCCGTTAAATGTTGGAACACTGCTGTCATGTCTCCCCTGGTCCTTCTCTTAACTAGACTAGCCATGCCCAGTTCCTGTAACCGTTCTTCATGTGTTTTAGTCTCAGACGAAACTTTGATCTAGAAGCCCTATTCAAAGATGCTCATCTTGCACTTCTTGTCTTTAAAAAGAAGACAGAGTCTTTTTTTCCCCCAAAAGGTTTTTTATTTTTTAAACAAAAACAACATAAAAACATCAACTTTCCAAAGGCTTACAGACAGTATTTCAATCGGTGAAAATCATTTCGTGCTCTCAAAATTTTCAAACTCTCATTATATGACAGATATTCTTACCTCTATCAGAAAAAAACAAGTGCTTAAACATTTTATCCAAATTTCATTTCATATATAATATTTCATCTTCATGCTTTATTATCTATCCATTGATAAAATAGTTCCAAGAAGACAGTCTTTTGATGCATAATGCCTTGAGAATTTTAATTTCATCTAGAAGGAAAGTGATTAGTTTAGCAAGATTGCAGATTCAATAAATATTGAAGAAATCCACATCAGATCTACCCTTATTACGGCGAATAGAAAAACTTTAGGCTGCCTACTATTTAATCCTAGATTTTAATCGTTTCAAACTTTACTTTTGGCGGGACGAACACTTATTATTCATTCCATCCCTACTGGCTTTGTTGCAGTATTACGTCATTTTTTTCTCTGGAGACCCCATAGATTTTTCTGGCTGCCTCTCCCAGAGATATCCCTTAGGTGGCGCTCTACCGTCGCCTTGAATTGGTATCTCGTCCCTTTAGGAATTTAACAAACTTAACGATTGTCATTCCGGTCTTTAAGAAAGAGACCAATTCAACACGTCCGGTTCCGATTTGCAAGCGAGAAGAACCCAGCCTTAATCGCACAGAAAGACAACCACTAACATTTCTTGATATATTACTTTTTCGATATACTCAGAAGCAAGCCCCGCAGTGCAGCACGATGGATGTAATCGCTTGCTTTGCGAGACCCGCCGCACCTGATAACCGAAGGTGGCGGCAGTAACCTTTCCTCTTCTTAACTCTACATCGAACTCGGGAGAGAGCAACAACAATAACAGCAATAACAGCTCTTTACTCAAGACCCCGCCGGCAAAACAGAACTCTATGGCTTCAGCACGTGGCCGGCAAGGCACTTCCTGTCATGGTGCATTGTGGGAAGAGAGAGGGGAAAAAAAAAAAAAGGTGGGAGGTTTGCTATGGCGGATGGCGAAGAGCCGTAAGTACCAACGCGCCTGCTCGTTTCCCTTCCTTAATCCCTCCCCGCCGTCGCTGCCTGGAACAGGCTCCGGGATGGTGGCGGGGAGCCCCCCCCTTTTTTCGCCTCTGCCCCCCCCCTCCATACATCCCCGCCCGCCTTCCTGGTGGTGGCGGGGGAGCGAGTCTATGAGCCTGACCCGGTCGGTGACTGACCCTTCTTTTATTCTCTCTCGTTATAGGGAGAAGAAAAGAAGGAGGCTAGAGGAGCGGCGGCGGCGGCTAGCGGGAGAGAGGCAGAGAGAGATGGGGTCAGTGCGGGGGAGGGCAAGAGGGGAGCGCTTGAAGAGCAAGGAAGAGGCGAGGAGGGTGGGGGGGGGGGGGGGGGGGCCGGGGTCGCGGGAGGCGGGGATTTCTCGGAAGGGATGCAGGAGCCCGGTTTGCCTTACCATCACCACCACCACCACCACCACCACCGCCCGGGCTTCTTTCGCAGAGCACGTGGGACTAGCGCCTACTGCACTGAAAAGGCCCCGGGCAGCAGCAAAAGCAATGCTGTTCATAGCAGGAGGATTGGGGGCCAGCCGGGGGTGGGGGTGGGGAGGTTTGGTGGTGGAGGGTCCTAAACCTGTAGTAATACTTAACCTTCTCAAGTTTTCGCGGGTGTGTGTATGTAAAAAGTTAAAATGAGTCCGAAAGGAGAAGGGCGGTATAGAAATCGGATAAAATAAAATAAATAAAATAATAAATAAAATCTCGGGTGTTTTCCCGGGTCATTAAAAATCTGTTAGTTGAAATGCTTAAAATCCTTAATTAAATGCTTAAAATCCTGGCTAAAATCCCAGGATTTTAAGCATTTCAACTAACAGATTTTTAATGACCCGGGAAAACCCCTGAGATTTTAACTTTATATATATATGTGTGTGTGTGTGTAAAATAATATATAATATATATTATATATATTATATATAATATATATAAAATATATATTTTAGATATATTAAATATATATAATATTCTCTCTATATATAGAATATATATATATTCTAAGAGCACCCCACAATTCTCTCCCTTCTCCCTTTCTACTCTGCTTGCCTTGAAACGCAAAAGGTAGAATGCAGGATTTGAAATTCATTGGCATCCTTCAGTCTCAAGAGACTATGGTGCTCTGGAAAGAGGTCCTAAAACAGCATCTAGTGTGACTAAAAAGGCCAATTCGAGAGTGGCAATCCCTTCCACTCTGAGGGCAGATACATTCTGTCCCCTGCCCAGTCTCCAGATTTTGCTGGTTCTGGGACTGCCTCTTTGCCTCAGCCTGCCGAACAAGTGTCTCTTCGAATTTGAGAAGGCCATGCTGCGTCTTTAGCCTCCAAGCTGAATGATCGGAGGTCAAGGTTTCCCAGTTGTTAATGTCCATTCCCAGGACCTTTAGGTCCCTCTTGCAGATATCCTTATATCACAGCTGTGGCCTCCCTCTGAGGCGCTTTCCCTGCACTAATTCTCCATACAGGAGATCTTTTGGAATATATGTGTGTGTATATAAGGGGCGTGCATAAGCGCACCAGCGCGCCTACCGTCCCTGTCCTAATGTTCCCTTTTATTAGTATCCATTTCATGTATTCAAATCATGTTTATACTTATATATGTTATCTAATACTTGTGCTTGACAAAATAAATACACACACACATGTATGTATGTATGTATATGTGTGTGTATGTATGTAAATACACACACACACACACACAGAGAACTTAGAAACGATACCTGATGTATTTCTGCCTATTCTCATAAGGAGTAGAAAATTTGGGTTATTGCTGCATTAGGCTTTGTATAGTATATTGAGCAACTGGCAACAAATGCAATTGTTTCAATGCAGGACTAATGTCATGTCCAAGACACATTACTGTCAAATTGAAGAGATTAAACATTGTAATAAGATTGTGGCAAGGGCTGAATTAGGGTAAACTATATTTAACATGAAAAGAACTGGTCACAAGTATCTGTTAATCACAGATGTGGATTCCCTTGGTTCTTCCTCAGGAGATTGCAGTTCTGTGAGAAAGTGTTTACCCCCTTTTGGATTTTCTGAAATGTTTTATTTCTTAGTCAGTGACTGTTACCAAAAATGTCATCTACAGGTGTACCTTATTTAGTGACTACCCTGTTTGCAATTCAAGAGTGATGAAATAGTAACTTTCCTATCAATGCCTGCATTTATGACCTTTGTAGTGTCTTTCGATGACTTTTCACCATTAGGCAGTATATGTTGTCCTGTGCCTGTCCTATTCTTTGCTCTCCCCTAGAAAGCTTTTCTTGCAGCACTTCTCTAAAAAGTGCTAACTGCAAGCTAACAAGCTCAGCTCTGATCTTAATTGATTAGAACCCTCCTCTCTGCTAACTGACACTGACAAGATCCTAATCAGTTTCATACTAAAGGTCTTTATTTGCCTCCCAGGTGGCTGGAGGGGGGGGGGGCTGGCAGCTGCACCTCTACTAGGTAAACAGCTGGAACTAGCACATTCCTTTTGATGTGCATACCCCACTATGTACCTGCTTACTGTGTTGTAATCTCTTCCCCCCTCCCCCATGTAAATACTAAGGTTAATTCCCTTTTTTACTGATTATCACTGCAGGATAATCAGGATGATGATTTCAAAGGGGGGGGAATGGGCATTCAATTCAATTCAAATCTTTATTTGAAAATAAAGATTTTCCTTTTATGTGGGTAAAAGGAAACCACAGTTATGATCAGGTGATTTCCCATTTAGTGACCATTTTGCGTAATGACAATGCTGCCTGTCCCAATTGTGACTGCTAAATGAGGGCTATTTGTTCTAATGTTATGTACTGTAGCAGGACCTGAAATGATAATCCTCATAAAATTCCTAAGTTGACAATGTTCTTGCATTGGTTACTGGTAACCAATTATAGGAACCATTTGGTTTCCATTCTTAAGTTGTACAGCAGATTATTGAATCTAAGGGGCTGTTACTTTTTTATACCAGCACATATCCATATTGGATAATATTAAGAAATAAACGAAGCAAGCATCTAATTTTACTTTGATTTGTTTATTAAGAAATATGAAACTCTGTTAACATTAAATGTCAAAAATGTGGAAAATCCAAAAGCAGGAAAAATAGTTTTTCACAGAACTCTTATCTCTTGATTATCCAAGTTCAGATTGGGAAGAAGCCTATTGGGATGGAAGCCTTTCTTCTTTGATAGCTTTCTATATGCAGGGGAGATTCGGGAATATGTGAATTCAACTCCAATCTAAACTGGGTATCGTCCTTCCTACTTCATTAAGAACTATGATTGAATGAGAATTCAGTTCACACACTTTAACCATGTTTTTGTAAAGGATACTTGTATATCAACATTTTACAAGCATAAAAAAAATCCAAAATCAGGATCTTAAATTTTGCCAAAAAAGTTATCTGCTTTTAAGTAAATGCTAAAATAAGTGATACTCCTGCAGAGATTAAAAAGGGAAGGGTGTCTCTTCATGATGTTTCATGTTTGCCAGCACATAATGTAGAAAGAAAATAATTAGCATTATGAGCAGTTAACTAATTACAGATGAAGAAAAACTGGACAAAGATAACTCTTGGTATGGTTACTCCCTAAACTTGTGAAGTGATTTTTTTTTATTAGCGTAATTTTCATACTATCCCAGTCTTATGGCTGTGGGCAGTGCATGTGGCATAACAGCAGCCTTGAAATAAAGTCTGTCACACAAAAAATAAACATACTATTTTGGCTTTTAAAACTAAAAGATACATTTTTGTGGGAAAGGTATATTTGGGTTACATTTCTTGGGAATGGATGATTTTTCAAACACAAAATCATAAAAAAATCATTTAAAATAAAATACAAAATAACATTTGAAAAATAATTTAAAATATTTATTGGCTGTAAAATATAGTATTTCTTAATTTTATAAAATATGCCCAGTGTTTTGCATTTCAAACATTTTGAGCTTCATGCAGGTTGTTCTGGCTATGTCAGAAGTATTGTGCATAGCAATGAAGACATTACAGAAAATACTTTTTTCTGTGCAAATAAAATTCAACGTATTTTTAATATTCATAGTCTGCACATTCATAGTTGACTGTATTATTTATTAGATGTGAAAAAACTGATAGGTTTGAACAGCACATTTAAATTAAAAGCTTTCATACATGGGAGAAAATTATTTTCACTGGAATATTGGAAACACTATTGGACAATTAATTCACTATTCACAACAGCAAAACATGATTTCAAAGCTATCAAACTTAAGTGAAAGAGAAAAATTTCCAACCCATATCTCTGATTTGAGACTTAAAGCAAACTTAATTTTGTAAGGCTTGGATGGAACCATTTTGAGCTTGGAATGTTCCAGAATAATCAGAATAACTCATAATAGAATCTATAGTTTTATGATTGATAGTAAGTTGGAAATAGATTTTTATGAACTGAAAACATGTTAAATTTGGAATGTTTCCATACCTTCTGCCATCCTACATTAAGAACATTAGTTCTCAGCAACTACACTTTCATGTTAATTTTTAACATTATCAAAGACTACTATTTATTTGTTTGAGTTATACCTCACCTTTTAATAGATCAAGATGAAAACTTTCACAAATTACCTTGCAGTGAAGCATAATTAAAAAGTAAACATATAATAGCAATGTAATTGAAAATTTTTTAGAGTACATGTCTAAATTTTGATTTATTTAAATTAGGTATTTTAAAAGTATTTGGATTATTTATCAGATTTGAAAATGAATTATTCAAACAATCAATCTTCTTTTGGATTGGATGGCCTATATGCATCTATGTCAAATGCCCCAAGCTTAATTGATTTTTTTTGTAAACAGAATCTGAGTAAGTAGATTTTTGCTTTTTTGTTCTTTTTCAGTTCAAGTAGTATTTTCATCTTTATTCTAGAAAGCTAACCAGAACATTTAGTTTTTAAGAGTACATAACTTAATACTTAATTTAATTTTAACAGGATTTTTTTTAGTAAATCTACAATAAACAGGTATATGTTAATTGGCCATAATCAACACAGTCAATTTTTCTATAGCTACATAACTACTTTATTTTACTTAATATTATACTTTATTTCCTTAATATTATCCAATGAAACTGATAATACCTAGCTCATTATGACTTGTACAGCAATAAACATATTTCAGCGGGTCAAAGGGAAAGACTAAGCTTGGGGGGATCGTGTTTTTTGTCTATTTGTGCGTGTTTTCATACCTTTTTTTGCAGCTGAGTTTCTATGTTCTGTGCAGAATGGCTGTTGATGGTGGGTGTGGGGACAATGGAGACTGGGAAGGTCGCTGGAACCATGTCAAGAAGTTCCTCGAGCGATCTGGACCATTCACACACCCTGATTTCGAGCCAGGCACTCAAGTGAGAAACGGTTCTTTTAAATACAAGTATTGTGTTGCAAACTATTGTGAATGCTTCTGTTTGTTACTCAGTAATGAAAGATGAACAAGTCTGCAAACTTCTAAAAATGAACCAACTACTTTTCTAATAGTTTTGCAAAATGTAATATGTAAAAAAGATCATGTTTAGTATCGAAAATAAGAATAAAATCTTGGGACACTGGGTAGAGAAGAAGAAACTATGAAATTACAGAAGCTGTATTGAAAAGAGTAATATAATATTGAATTGCTTATTTCAGCTTTGTCATATATATTACCAGTTTATAAGTGCAGTTCTTAAAAATCTTGAATTGTTTATACACACAAGATATTTAAGCACACATTTAACTATAGGAAGATGGATAAGTTGAATGGATTTAACATTTGACCTTCTGGTTTAAGGAAAAATAGATTGCTATGGGATTGTGTGTTTCGTTCTCCGAACAACCTCATGGCATGTGTGCACACTTGCTGAATGTTTCCGATCATAGAGATTTTTCTCTGCATCTGATCATTTTGATATTGATTAAAATAAACCTGAGAGTACTCGTTAATGCTGTTCCAAACCCTGATTAACGAATGCACATTCAATTTAAAGAACATAGTCTGAGAAGAATTTATGCTTATGTCAGTGGGATTCACTGCTGAATATATAAAAGCATGTGTGTGCCTGTGAAACAAACAAAATCTTAAAAAGTTATGATATTTATGTAGTTACTTACCAAGCACATCTAAATTATATTAAAGTAACCAAAATATTTTTTACAATCCCCAAGGCATGTCACAACTTTTGAACACCCCAATGTTTGAAAGTTGAAAGTTGAAACATTTGACACGCATATTTGTACGTGCACATACATTAAAAGACGTTGCTTTGCCCACAGAGGGAAGCATATAAAGACAATTATAATGAGAGTGTCATTGTGTACATTACATTAATTAATGTAGAGATATGCAGTCTGATGTTAAATCCATTGAGATTAGTTGTATTGCCATTAGACTCTTTGCGTTCTGCTTAAATATTCATTGCATGTAGAAGCATCAGTGCAGGATTTTCTGTAGTAATTCTATTACTGCCAGAAGGCAAATTCTGATTTACAGTGTATTGTACAAGTTTTGGCTTTTTAAGGTATTGTTTAATGCAATCATTTTGGTGGAAGTATTATGTTTTACTTTAAATAAATTGCTTGTTTTGGTTCTTTACAGCCCCTTGATTTTCTCTTAAATACATGTAAAGTTCTAGTAATTGGAGCTGGAGGATTAGGATGTGAACTCCTGAAAAATCTGGTAATTTTTTTTTTTATCTTTTTACATTTTACCCTACTCACTTTATTTACTATCATAGTTCATTTTGCCTGGTTTTCTCTTGATTTACGCTGAGTGGATCACGCCATGTGACTTGATATGCATATATATAAAATATAAGAGTTTTCAGGCAATAAGGTTACTACAAATAGCATGCAGAAATTAAAAAAAATATATACAGAATGAATACGTAAAACACATCCATCTGTCAGATTGTTCATATCTATGTAATCCTATAAAAGAAAAATATAAACATGTTTTTTCAGAGATTCTCCCAGTATTTTTAAAATATTGGCAACTTTTACAAAATAGTAACAAACATTAATTTATAAGGAAGCACTAGGTTGCCTTAGCTGCGATGACGGCTAGATGAAAATTTTAAAATCTACCTGTAGACTAATAGGTTAAGTTGGTCATAAAGTGAAATGCAGTTTTGCATGGACAAAAGAAGGGCATTTGGTTGTGATTTTTAACTGACAGGGTTCATTTTAGTGAATTCAAGTAAGAGGAAACAACTGAAAAATAGGTTGTCATGAAAGTTTCCCAGTCATACATCTCCATCCTGGCTGGACAGGTGATGCTGTTGTCGTGCTGACAAGTATTGGAAGGTGTCAGTATCTGAATGGGAAGGAACTTAGTTTGACTCAACCCTGGCAAGATGGATTGGCTTTGGGTCTTTGCTGCCCCCCACACCCAAAAGGCCTGGTGATTTGTCATCTTTGATTTTGAATGGGATGGCACCCCCTCTAGATTAACAGCTTCTGCTTGATGACCCAAGTGACAAGAATGGTTAGGGGGCCTTTGCACAGATTCATCGTCTATGCTAATTGCTCCCTTTCCTTGATCGGGAGTCCTTGCTCAGTCACTCATGTCTGAATTACTACAGAGTACTCTCTGTGGGGGAGTCCTTGAAAACCACCAAGAGGTTACTAGTTGTCACTTAATGATGGTAATTGGAATCAGAATTTCCATCCCCAAGTGATGTGGACATAATGGGCAACATCACATAACCGTATTGCTTAGCAATGGCAATCCCAACCATTCCCATTCCCATCACAAGCAGGGTCAGTGGGGAAGCTAGCAGGAAGTTGCAAGTCCTGGGTGTCTCACAAAGAGGCTGATAAGTAGAGAAGTGGCTGTTGTGGTGCAAGCATGGCTCAGTGGACAGGAGGTGACTTCTCTCAAGTGTGGGTAGATGAGCTGGAGGCCGCTATGATGCTGTGCTATAGAGTGCAGGCTGAGGGGTGTGAGCTGGTTGCCAAGTATCCAAATCGCTATCACATGTCTGCAGGATTGCTGAGATGGCTGTAACGTTGAGCCGTAACTTCAAATTGTTGCTGAATGAGTGGTCATTAACCAAGGACTACCTATGCAGGTCCAGAACATAGCAGCATATAATGTTGAGCAGCCTAGGTTCACCTATATTACACTGCTGTTGCATGAGCTGCTGTAGCTCCCAGTTTCATTTAAGGTGCTGGGTTATCACCTTTGAAGCCCACATGGCACGGGACCATGGTTTTCTGCCGCACTCTCTCTCCTTGAAGTTGTGTTCCCATCTCACAAGCAGAAATATGTTGCATAGATTTTTATCAAATTTTAGCTGGGCAAACTTCGTAGGCTGTCTGGCCTCAAATAAGAGCTGGGGACTATGACTTGTTCAGTACCTTTATTATTAACTACAATACTGCCAAATATTGATAGTTTTCAAAAGCAGCAAGTTCATAACGATGAAAACAATATGTATTATTTTTATAACCTTCTTTTCTCTGTCTTCACAGGCACTATCTGGTTTTAGACAGATTCATGTAATTGATATGGACACTATTGATGTATCTAACTTAAACAGGCAGTTCTTGTTTCGGTAAGCTTTAAACTTAACGCTTCTCTTTGGACATGAACTATATACTCAGACAATCTGTTAATTTTTGTACGAAATGCAGAATTCAGTGAATTACACCGTTTTGTACAAAGATCATTACCATTCCAACCTGAATCTGTTGGACTTTTTAGATCATCTAGGGGAAAAGTATGCCTAGTGTCTCCACCATTAGCAAATAAATGCTGCTGAAGGAAGATGGCTCTGCTTTTCAGGGGCAGCATCAACCCTCCAGACAGCTTCCTTCCTTTAATTTGCCTACTTCGAAGAGCGGATATCATCATTGTTGATACAGAATACATTGTATGAGTGTGAGAAATTTAATGCTCTAACATATACTGGTGCTTTGCAGACCTAAAGATGTTGGGCGTCCTAAGGCAGAAGTCGCTGCTGAGTTTCTCAATAGCCGCATTCCCAATTGTGCCGTTGTACCGTATCCTTCCTTGAAGAAATACTGCATGATGGCTTGGTTTCTTTAATATATATATTAAAAAGCACAGAATACTTCCAGAGATGGATAGCTGCAGCCCCATCTTTTTTTTTTATTGTTAGAGTCATTCTGTGACATTCAAAGGCAGTGGTTTTTTAAACCTACGAGGAATACTCGTTGTATTTATTTGTAATAGTATAATACAGGTAATCCTCCACTTAAAACACAATTGACCTCCAACATTTCTGTTGTTAAGTGAGACATTCTAGATTACTTATTAACTTGATTTTGACGTAAACGTTAGAAACCAGAGACGTTGAGCAATGTCCATTGTTTTACTTTTAAAACTAAAATAATAATAATAATAATAATCATAATAATAATAATAAAGTGAGACATTCTGTTAAGTGAATTTTGCTCCATTTTATGACTTTCCTTGCAATGGTTGTTAAGTGAATCACTGAAATTGTTAAATTAGTAACACGGTTGTTAAGTGGCTTCCCCTGGCTTTGGCTTTCCCATTGACTTTGCTTATCAAAAGATCACAGAAGATGATCATGTGATGGCCTGAGGACACTGCAACCGTCATAAATATGAACCAGTTGCCAAGCATCCGAATTTTGATCACATGACCACAGGGATGCTGCAGTGGTCATAAGTGTGAAAAAACGGCCACAAGTCACTTTTTTCAATCCTGTTGTAGCTTTGACCGGTCACTAAATGAACTGTTGTAATTCGAGGACTACCTGTAGGTAATTGCACCTTGGAATCTTCTTAACTAAGCACTTATTCTGAGAGATGTATTTTAACTCTGAAACATTACATTTATTAGAATAATGCAACATGAAAATGGATTGATTTTTCCAAGGCAGCATTATATATTGCTGATGAAATATACAACATCTGATGTTAATTTTTGCCTGACCAGGCTTGTGTACTCTCATTAACATTTTTTAAGTAGTTCAGAGGCTTTCAGGGGCTGAAAACTATAAGAAAAAAACCACACTGTATAAACCCAGACATATCTATTCCAACAGGGATATTCAAGTTGCTCTTCTAGAAAACTACAGGTAGCTTTTGACTTATAATCACCATTCAGAATTTTGGTCGTTGTGCGATCAATAAGTGGGTCCACATATGACCTGACTCAATTTTACAACTTTTTTTTTAATGGTTGTTGAGTTACCAGTCGTTCAGCAAATCTAGACTATACAATGGGTATTTTTGCCATTTTCTGCTGGAAAATGGTAAAAATGTTGCAAATTGTGATCACATGACCATGGGACACTATAACAGGTCATAAATGCAAACCGGTTGCTAAGAGCCCGAAATGCAATTATGTCATGGAGTGTGTTTGTATCAATCATAACTCTGACGACAGGCTGTAAGTAATTTTTTAAAAAGTCCATCATAACTTGAAACAGTCATTAAGCAAGGACTACCTGTATGATACCAGAATTCTTTGGAAATGGCCAGATTGATGTAGTCTAGAAGAAAAATAGAACATTGCAATGTTCTCCAGAACAGTAGTGTTTGGACTACTGCTGTATGAGAGCTTGAATAGTCTATTGGGCAAGGTACTGGAGTAGGACTGGAGTAAACCCAAGTTCTAACTCTACCTTATGTATATAAGCCAACTTTAGGCCAGAAACTCTTTCTCAATCAGAAGACAAAAATGGCAAAACCCTTCCAAAAATGTTGCCTCAAAACTTGCATGTACTTGTCCATTGTAGTTGCCAGGAATCAGTTCTGACTTGAAGGCAAAACAGAGAATATTCCAGAAACTGTTTGCTACGGTATTGGATTACATACTTTCAGAAACCCATAGACGAAACATCCACGGCTATCTGTTTTTCTCCAGTTGTTGAAAATGGTTAGTTTATTCCATAAAAGCTGTTGAACTTCATCAATTTAATTTTAAACAATGTTTCAAATACTTCAAACGTTAATCAACTGGGGAGCCTTTTAAAGCCTTTGATGTTAGTGTTAAATATTTGTTCTCTTTGTAGACTGTGGTATTAATAGCCATTCTACAGTGACCCGATAATTGCTTAAAATATTTCCTTTACTGTGTGCTTTTAGACATTATAAAAAGATTCAGGATCTGGATGAAAGTTTCTATAGACGTAAGTTGTCATGCCCTATTGTGAAAATAGCAATTCCTGTTTTGCCAAGTAAGATGATAATCATACACTATAATTAGAATAGCTAATTATTTGGAACAAAGGAATGATTATATTTGTTTTCTTTTAGAATTTCATATAATTGTATGTGGTTTGGATTCAATTATTGCAAGAAGATGGATAAATGGCATGTTGGTAAGTATTTTTACTAAAATTTGTGGGGGGTTTAAACAAAATACACTAGAATTCAGTAATTCAAGAAAGTTTCATTTTTAGTTTTGATATAAAATATATGACAACGTTCTTTTTAGGTACATGGTCATGCACATTGTTTTCATAAATTTCTCTGCTTTTAATCTTGGATTAATGTTCAAACTCCACATAGGTGATTCACAAGATTATGACTTTTAGAATTACCACAATGATTTTCACATTGATTTTGATAGAACTTCAAGAAATTACTTTGCTTTCCATTATTCTGAATGTTTTTCCCATTAATACACTTTTATATATTTTATATATTTAATATAATTGCTATATACTTTCAAGAATATTTTTTTCTAATTAAGAAAACAGATGTATCAAAATTTGAAGAATGGCTTTAACACATAATTGCCTGAGTTGTATTTTTCACCAGCAGCAATTTATTATGACAGTTGATAGGTTCTAATGAGCTGGCTGTTTTTAGAGGGTTTAAGCTGCTAACAACTCATGCTTTTCATTTGCAATATGAAAATTAGAATAGCATTCTCTTGCAGTCAAGGATTATATTGCACATATAAGCTGTGTCAATATATACTTAATTTGCACCAATAATTTGAGCCACTATAGGGTTGAAATTACTTGAAGAGGACAGTATTCAGTCAATGTACTTACAGAAATGAGACATAATAATTTCCTCTTAGTTTTGAAAGATGGATTGTTATAATTCTGTCGCACTCTGGACCAGAAATGGCCACTGCTGTTAGTCTTATAATTATTTCAGATACTACCACTTCTGCTTATCTTGCTGAATTATAGATTTTGTTGCTGAGAGAAAGAAGGAAAGAACCTAATACAATATATTCTATTTTGTTCCCTAGATTTCCCTTTTAAACTATGAAGATGGGGTGATAGATCCAAGTTCTATTATACCTTTAATTGATGGAGGAACAGAAGGATTTAAAGGAAATGCACGTGTGATTATTCCAGGCATGACAGCTTGTATTGAATGTACACTTGAACTTTATCCACCACAGGTAGCTGAAAAATAATGATCTTTTAAAAATAGTCATCCTTTTAAACCTCTTGCAAAATTCACGTTATTCATTTATTTTTTTTTCCAGGTAAATTTTCCTATGTGTACAATTGCTTCAATGCCTCGTCTACCAGAACACTGTATTGAGTATGTTAGAATATTGCAATGGCCCAAGGAACAACCTTTTGGAGGTAAATCAGTAAACTCTTTTTAAAGCTGAATCAGTGTAAGAAATGAAAGAATAATGTACAGAATGTCTCTCTCCTTGTATGATACAGTTAAGATCATGGAAAGCCTGTTTCATTCTATTGTGATTTTTCTGATTCTTTTGGAAAAAAAATCAATACTTGTAAAATTTACTCTAGTTATTGGTAGGCTGTAATGGAGCCTGCCCGTTAAGGTTGTAAGTCTTTATAGTTGTAAAACGGGTCATCCACATGACTGACCTGATTATATGACCTTTTATTTTTTGCAATGGTTGTTAAGTGAATGCCAAGATCATTAAGCAAATCTATTGTTCGCTTTAGAGATTTTTTTGCTGAAAACCAGAAATAAATGACGAGGGAGGGGGGTCGGCAGAAATGTAAATGTTGTAATTGTATGAATGCAGGATACTACAAACACTTCTAAACGCAGATTGGTTGCTGAGCGCCTGAAATGTCATGTCATTTCAGGGAGGGCATTTGGGGCCGGTCTGTTATAACTTTGAAAGATTGTACATTGTTCAAAGTATATAGTTTTGATATAAAATAAATTACAAGTCATCACGATGGTATGTTTAAATAAAGTGCTTTATCTATTCTGTTGCAGAAGGTGTTTCCCTAGATGGAGATGACCCAGAACACATACAATGGATTTTTGAAAAATCTATAGAGAGGGCATCACAATTTAATATTAAAGGTCTAACTTATAGGCTTACACAGGGTAAGATTCAGCAAGAACTCTTGGTCAACTTTGTACTTTTGTTCTGATGATTAGCTTTTTATACTCAGTGGTGACTTAGAATGGGTTGCGCTGTGTTTTATTCACATGTTGCGTGAGTACTTTGTTGTGATCCACAGAATGGACAGGGCTGACATTTTAGAACCCATGTTTTCACAATAAAGTATGCCCTTTTCCAAAGTTGAAAAAAGACTGAAAGTGTTAACTCTGGTCAGGTTGGTTGGTTAGTTTAGTTTAGTTTAGTTTAGTTTGCTGCCCTTGTTGTGAACATCACCACCCATGCCTCTTGTGATCCCACATAGGGCAGAGTCAGAATGTCTGGTACCAAGGAAGAATGGTTTCCCATTCCAAGTTAAATGTTAACTGCTGTTGTTCATTCTAAAGATACTCTGCTTGGAATTTTTGTTGGTTGCTAAGTCAGTCCACAGGTATACAACATGTTTTATTGCTGTTTTCTATAAAAAAAATAACATGCTGTATGGTGCTTCCCCAAATGCAGGAGTTGTAAAGCGGATAATTCCAGCAGTAGCATCAACAAATGCTGTAATTGCAGGTATAGTACTATCAGAAATCAACTACTTGTTTGTGTTTAACAATAATGCTGGGGATTCCAGATAAAAACAGGGTAGTTTCTGATGGTTTTCTTTCTATACAAGACTAGCCTAAATAGATCAGAAAAAAGAATTTTATGGTACACACTTAACAGAATAACTTAAATGTATCCAGAAAAGGAACTTCTTCCTGAGTTGAAAGGGGCTTATTGCCAATAAACTATAGTGAAATTAATGGGGTTTATTTCTAAATAAATAAATTTGTCTAGAGTTGGCTGAAAACAGTTGAGTAGAAGGTTAAGTCTTTAGAATGTTATATTTTAGCAATTCTATAGACAAACTAGATTTGGGAAACATTAGGTTAAAAGTTCTGGCTATATTTAGTTTAATATATAACTTAATGCTAAAATTGCTTTTTCAACTAGAATCATGAACTGTATGGGAAAAACTGCTAATCCATCACTACTAAAAAAAATGGGAGAAGGGAAGCTAGGAGGGGTTGCTTTTGGGGAGGCTTGTTTTATAGAAAAACCTTACACAGTAGGTTTGGCTTTCTCTGTCCTTACTAACTTTCTAGATATTTGTGAAAACGGGGCTCTTCCTGAAATCTTTGAAGTAGTTAAAATTGACCCATTGAACGTTAACAATTATTGGCATGTAGTTTAGCAACTGCTGTGAACAGTGATGGTTCACAGTTATGACAATGATGAAAACGTAACTTTGTGACTGATGTGCACTTTTACAACCTTGGCAGCATCTTTCTGTTTCACGTGTTCACCATTGCAGTCAGTATTTGTTGTCCTATGCCTGGCTCTTTCTCTCCTCACCGCCTTTGCAGGATGGAAAGCTTGCTTCAACATCTCTTCCTGAGCTGCTTTCTCTGCAGCACAGTCCTTCCCTAAAAAGTGCTAAATGCAAGTTAACAAGCACAGCTCTGGGAATTTAATTGGTGAATTAGAACCCTCCCACTTGTTGCTCCTGCTGCCTGATACTGACAAGACTCTATAATCAGTTTCACACTAAAGGATTTTGTTTGCCTCCTGAGTGGCTGGGGGCTTGCTGTAACTTTCCCCCCAAATAAGACATCCCCTGATAATAAGCTCAATCGGGCTTTTGAGGATATGGCAATAAGGCCAAGCGCTTATTTCAGGCAGGGCCGGATTTTTCTATAGGCTAACTAGGCTTCAGCCTAGGGCCTCAAGATCAAGAGGGGCCTACATTCAAATTGTTAGCAAAATTAAAATAATTAAAATAATTCCATAAGTGGAATAGCCTAGGGCCTCTTTTCATCTAAATCCGGCCCTGATTTCAGGGTTCAAAAAAATATAAGACAGGGTCTTATTTTGGGGGAAACATGGTAGACAAACAGCATAAACTCATTGTTCTTGCTCTTGCTCTATATTCTCCATCGTGTAATTGCTTACTCACTAGTAATCTCTTCCTCACCAAAGTGCGTAAATAGAAGCATTAGTTTCCTTCTTGCTAATTATGCCAGTGCTGGGGTGAGCATTCCAAAGAGGTGGGGAAGGGCTATAAGATTTGCTTTTTTACTTGGCTTCCTTGTGAGTCAAGTTCAGAAACTTTCCCTGCCCATGCTTAGTATGTAACTTTATTTAAATAAAATCTGACTTTCTTAAGTATAAACATATCAAAACTTTCAGGAATGTTTAAACACAACTAAAATTCTTATATTTCTAGGTGGTTATAAATAGTATATTTTACCTATACTTTTCCCTTTTAAATATTTAAATAATTTGGTTATTTTTCTATTTCTAGCTATATGTGCCACTGAAGTCTTTAAAATAGCCACAAGGTAACTTAATTAATATTTTTGTGAACTAGCTGCTTATAAACCCTTAGCAGGCTTCCTGCTTATATACTAATAGTCATTTCTTTGCAGTGCATACATGCCTCTGAACAACTATTTGGTGTTCAATGATGTTGATGGTCTTTATACATACATGTTTGAAGCTGAAAAGAAGGTTAGTATTGCTGCATACAGTTTTCTTACCTTTGTTTGGTTTTGATCTTCACTTACTTTATTCTCAAGTGCTATACCCAAAAAGTTTATTTAACTATCCTATTTCAAAATTCTGTATTCATCTGTCTTGTTGGCTGTTGGAAGGAACATATTAGATGGTGGTAAGAACTTATCTGATAAGGTTACTAAAGAAAATATGATGTGTTCCTGACCTAGAGTTGTCGTTGGTATGGTAATGCATATATCACACTGATTCCAACACTGGAGAAAATTAGCATATTTTAATAGATGCTTCAATTGAATTTCTTTCAAAAGCTGCAAGAACTCTAAGCCATTAAAATCACAAAATCAGTATACTTTGTCAAATCTTCATTTTACATCTATACAAAAGTTGGTTATATAACTTATTTTATGCTCCCCCATTATTAAGCAAAGCAATTAAGATTGGAATAATAAAAGGCTATAAATAGTATCCTTTGATGAGTTTCAGTGAGTAGAAGTAGTTTCCATTAGTAGAAAGAAAGAAGGGATAATTTCCTTCCTCTTGCAACTGTCTACATGTCCTTCAAATCTTTTCTGATTGATATCCTTGTAATTTTTCTGGACTCTTGACCAAATAGTCTAGTTCTTCATTGTCTGTTGTCCAGCCATAGGTTGGGCATGTGACCGGGCAAACATAGATTTTTTTTAGAACAGGTTAATCCTCTTTAGATTTGAATGCCTATTCTTTGTACGTGTATTTAGAATAAAAAAGAAAAAGACCTCTGCCAAATTCCTTTTTGATTCACAGTTAAGGATGCTAAAGTTAACATACATCAGTTCAATAGCAATATTTCAGTTATAGGCTACGGAGCAATAACAAACCTTTATAAGGAGCAAAAAATACCCAATAATACCTATTACAGAAATTAGCAGTTCTTATGTACTCTTATACATTGAAGTGTATAGCATTGATTGTGATTCCCCTTTTCTGTTAGAAAAACCTGATACAGCTCTATGCAAGCATAAGTACAATAGCACAGGAGGAGGCTAAACTATGACTAAAAATAGGTTTGCAAGTACACAGCTTTTGTAATTCTGGGTATTTACTTGTGGGAGCTGAAATTCCACTTACTTCCTGAAATGCTAGTATAAGAATTTCATATTCATATATATCAAACATCACTGGTGACAGAGAATTTAGAATTAGTTAAGCTGTCATGTGAACCTGAATACAATGTTAGACTTTATATATGAATTTAGAAAGAAAGAATAACAACAAAGACAGCACTGTGTATTGGGTCCAGAAAAAACTAGACTTGATTTTTTTTTCACTTGGAGAATTCCTTGTATGTTTGGACAGGATTTGGGTCAATTTGACAGAGCAATCCTATATCAAAATCAAGGAGTTCTGACAGATACAAGGCTTTGCTTCAATAGAAGAACTAATTGATCAGAGACTTCAATTGTTTGGGGAGTGAGGAGTTAGTACTGGATCATTCAGATTTAAAAATGCTCCTGATCCATTCCTTTCCTTTGGAAACTTTATTTTCCTCACCTCAGGAAAGAGTCCTCACCATAGAATTGTAGCCTTTTTGATTTCAATTTTTTACTTTTTGAAATGATATCAGATACTTCATTTGTTGCTTTCTAGGAGAATTGTCTGGCTTGTAGTCAACTTCCTCAAAATATAGAATTTTCTCCATCGGCTAAACTACAGGAAGTCTTGGATTATTTAACAAATAGTGCTTCACTGTAAGTATTGGATACAGTTATTTATAGATTTGTAAATAATATTAGAATCTAAAAATGTAGTTTTGGTAGATCATGGAGATACTTGTTTTAAAATTTTAACTAGTTGTCTTGATTTTTTTTTTCTTTGCACAGACAAATGAAATCTCCTGCAATAACTGCTACAATATATGGAAGAAATAAAACACTTTATTTACAGGTAACTAATATATATATATATATATATATGTAAAAATCACAAAATGCATGTTTGGATCTAGGGAGAATAATAGAATGCATGTTGTATATTTTCTCTCCTTCTGCAGTCAGTAGCTTCAATTGAAGAACGAACAAGGCCAAACCTTTCAAAGACTTTAAAAGGTAATGTTTAATAGTTAGTTATTTAATAGTTAATTTAATTAAAGCATGTTGGGGCATGCCACCAAATTAAAAAAAAAAAGTGTGTGCACTCTTGATGCCTGTTTGTACCATGTTCCCCCAAAATAAGACACTGTCTTATATTTTTTTAATCCAAATTAAGCGCTTGGCCTGATTTTCGGGGAGGTCTTATTATTTTGGGGTGCGTGGAGCAAGATGGGGCTCCTCTTGATTACCTGATTTCCAGCTCTGCGTTTAAATATTTTCGGGGAAGGCTTATTTTCGGGGGGAGGCTTATTTCAGCACATGCGCTCAAAAGCCCAATTGGGCTTATTATCAGGGTATGTCTTATTTTTGGGGAAACAGGATATTTATCTGGTATGCAGTAGGTGTCAAAAAATCCTATTAAAATTTGCTTTAGGCAAATATGGAATATGGCATTGGTATATAATAAAATACAGTGGCATCCTCTTACACATTAAAATAATTTTCTTCAAAGCTTGTAGGTGTTGAAACAACAATATAAGGCAGGTTATATCACACTTAGAATGTATATACACAAAGCAATTAAAAACACTCGAGGGTTTGATTTAGTTTTCAGTCTTTTTTCTAGACATGTAGAAGTTCTGTGGGCCACATTCACCTTAGTGAGATTCCCATTATATAACTGTATAGTGGAAAGAAAAGTGAAGTCATGGAGTAAAGATATGAACATTATCAGCTCAGCACCATTTTTGCTGTGTCATTGCAGCAATGAATAGATTGAAGGAACTATATTGACAATATTTGAGTAAATCAAAGTAAATCGAATAAATTGGTCTATTTCGAATCAACAGTTTGTGCCAATTGTAACAAAAATAAAAGAATTTTAAAATAAAACTGATAATTTTATAATGATATTTTGGTATATGTTATACAGGTAGTCCTTGACTTACCACCATTCGTTTAGTGACTTTTCAGTGTTACTACAGCATTGTAAAAAAGTGACTTAGGACCAGTTTTCACACTGGTTGCATCATCCCCTTGGTAATGTGATTGAAATTGAGTGCTTGGGAAATGGCATGTTATTTATGACTGTCCCAGGGTCATTTGATCACCATTTGTAATCTTCCCAGCTGGCTTCCGACAAGCAAAGACAATGGGGGTAGCCAATTTGTTAAATGACTGCATGATTCATTTAACAGCTGTAGCGATTCACTTAACACCTGTGGCAAAAGGGTCATAAAATGGGGCAAAACTCACTTGATAGTTACCTTACTTGACAATGGAAATTTTGGGTTCAGTTGTGGTTGTAATTGGAGGGTTATGTGTAGACCAATAATAATTTTGAATGAACCTAATTATATATATATTACAGAGTAACAGAAGCTTTATATCTGCTCTATTTCAGTTTTCTCCAAATGTGTTTTTGTTCCATAAAAGTTTCAGATTTATTTCTTTTGTTTCAATTCTGGAAACATCTCTCTATATAGAAATGACTTTTAATATTATGCTTTTAACATTGCAGAGCTGGGCCTCGTCGATGGTCAGGAGCTTGCAGTTGCGGATGTCACAACACCACAAACTGTACTTTTCAGACTTCATTTTACTACTTGAAATGAATACAGGTGATATAAACAGACACTGAAGAACATCTCCGAACTACTTCTGTACAGGGGAAAAAAGCTTGAGTTATCCTGACATAATCTCTATTTATATAAGCATTGATGAAAGTTTAAATAAATTGCTCTTATTTTAGAACTGTTCTTGCAAACCAATATTTGGTTGATGTTACTTGTGTAAAAGCTCATAATGTACAGAAAGCTGTTGTATAGTAATTTTATTCAATTTGTAATCTCATAATGCCAACACTGCTACATGGAACTCCTGAAGGCCAATGGATTCATTCTTAAAGCACCTATGAACTCTGGATGCACACAAGAGTACAGTGGACACAGATTTTAAGTTGCATTTTAATATGTATACGTAATTTAGTTCAGAGAACCAGTTTAATAAAACAGCCTATTTCTCACTTTAGTTAATGCCTTTATTGCGTTGTCAGCTATCTGTACTGCCAAATTTAGATTCCCCCCACAAACTGAAAGATTGTACACAAGTACCATTGATGGATAATTAAATTTGTATATTGGCAAATATGAATGACTATTATGCATGGTGTTGCCCACTGATATTCAGGATTGGTGTTTCACTATTAGACTATTTATTAATAAATACTATCTAAAATTAACCTATTTTGTTAATTTATGTGGGTACGACGAGGTTGAGAACTGCAGAATGAATGTAAATTTTAATAAATGTTTTAAAGCAAAAGTCATCTCTAAACAGATACCAGTCAAGAAGCAACTAGTAGTGGATAATTACACTGAGCTAGATCTAATACCCACTAAATCCCACAGACAATGTATGATATTGTAGTTTTCTTTTCTTCCTGTCTTCTACAAAAGAGCTCAACTGAAGTTCTTTGCAAAAAGAAGCCTTTGCGTGTTCCAAACGGGGCTCCTCCGAACCTAGCTGGGCTTGTTGGCAGTTAATAAAATACCGTTTATTTAAAAATAAATTATATCGATTTAAATAGAGAGAGGAGAAGCCCGGTATAACCACAAAACGTCGAAAAGTGTACCTGTGCGGAAATGAAAAAAAAAAATTCCCCAGTGACGTCATGAAAGCGAGGTGGAGAGTAGGCGGGAAAACTTCCCACGATGAAATCCCTACGCCGGGGTGACCGGCGCTTTGCGTGACCATGGCAACGAGAATTGGCGTCACGCGGGCGGTGTTTGCTACGCGAGGGCGCGCCGGCTTGTTTTCCTACGTGGAAGCTGGACGATCGCGCCTGCGCAGTTAACGCGACTATCCCCCCCCCTCACCTCACCCCTCGGGCGCGTGCCATATCCGGGTTGGTAGTTCCGTCATGGCCGACGACGGGCGGCGGGTCGAGCATTACAGCTCTGGAGACCGCTGAGAGAGAGAGAGAGAGAGAGAGAAGCGGAGGAAGGTCGAGGCGGAGGGCCCCGGTCGGGCTCGAGCAGAGGAAAATGAGTTGGTTCAACGCATCGCAGCTCTCGACCTTCGCCAAGCAGGCTCTGTCTCAGGCGCAGAAGTCCATCGACCGAGTGCTGGATATCCAAGGCGAGGAGGAAGAGGAGGGCGAGGGGGGTCCTGCCGGAGCTGCCCCGTCCCGTGTAGGAGAGGCAGGTAAGGTGGCCGCGGGGGGGGGGAAAGGGGGAGGAAGAAGGGGAGAGCTTTTACCCCTCCCGTCCCTACCTCGAGGGAGCACACACCACGTAAACATCGGCAAACCCTTCGCTTGACGTGCCTCCCATATACCTTCTTGCACGCCTCTCCTTTGGTGGCAACCCTGTATTTTGTTTGTTTCTTCAGTGGTGTCAACATGATGAGGTCAGCCCTCTCGCTCAAGCTTGCTTCTTGGAAAAGGTCTTTGAATGATGATGATGATGATGATGATGAATAATAATAATAATAATAATAATAATAATAATAATAATAATAATAATTGCAGCTTCCTGCAATAACCAGCGGAACTGCAAAAAACTGCGCTACTTGGAACATCGTACATCTTAAGAAGATACTTGATTGATACCTAGGACGCTGGCAGCAACCCGTATCAACCATTAGCATCAGTCAATGGTATTTGTGATGCATTTTTGAATGTTCAGTTGACAGAGTTTCATGTTTAATGAATAAAGTATGTAATAATAATAATTAATAAAGCTCTGGATTAAAGGTAAAGAAGTTTGTGCAGAAAGTAACTGGTTACAATAACATCGGTTCTGTGATCGGATTCTGCACGTTGAACATACAACTGCACATTTCTATGTGTTTTCTTGGACTAGGATAGATGTTAGATGGGGATTGGGAAAAATACACATACACACACACACACATACCTGCCGCTATCCTCATTGATACCGCTATTCTGTAAATATGTACCAAATTCAATTCCAATTCAAACCTTTATTGTCAATGCACAACATGTGTACAATGAGATTGGATGAGCCTCCCTTAGTGCAGCCCCCCCAAACACAAAATACATCTCAATGACTCATAAGTGAAAGAAAGAAGAAAAACCCTAACCCAATAGATCATACTAACAGACACACAATCCTATATACATATATGTGCATAACATAACATAATATTATATTACATCAGTGTATCCATTAAATGTACCTATTAAAATGAATGGCTTTCATTTTCAGGAAGTTGGGAATAAAGTTACATTTCAAATTTTCCTTAAATGTGTCCTGATATTTCTAAGTCGCCCACTTCTATTCCTTTTAGACAATCTTAATTTACCATACATGAAATCCTGCCATGCTGGAATTAGAGGGATAGAGGGGATAACAGTTCAGACACTTTAAAAATATTACATTTTGTGCTTGTTAACTGATAACAATTATGTGTTTCATATTTCTTATTCTCAACTTTAGGTGATTCCATATTTTCTCTATTTCCTCTAGTTATATAATATGAGCATTGTTATTCAGTTCTATTTATGGCTTTTTTGGTCTACAGAAGGTCACATTGATGTACTGAGTAAACTTCAGTATAAAAATTACATTATGGTCTTGTAACTACACAATCTAATAGTATAATTACACTATCCTAGAGGAGTATTGAATTTGTTTTTCTCAACTGTAGTTTGCCATGGCAAAGTTAATAAGTTACAGAATATTGTCATATTGAAATGGTGGGAGGAAAAAGTCAACTAATGTAGCAATTATTCTTACTGCATTTGTAGCACAATGAACTACTCAGAAAAAAAATTAGTTTATTTTTCCTCCTTTATTTGTTCAATTAGATTGAAGTTGATGAGTAGATGCATTAAATAGGTGAAAGAACAGTTTTTCACAAAAGAAAACCAAAACATGAATTATTTTTGATAACTCTTTTCTAAAAACATAAGTTCATTGAATTATGCTGCCTTAGTAGTTTTACATATAAATACTTTGATTTCTCCCAAATTGCTATATTCTGCTTGATTTAATTGCATAAGAAATAATTATGTAGGCTTATAATATTGCCATTCCCATTTCTAGACTATGTAAGGAATATAATGTAACATCCTCCTGAGGAGAAGCCTTTGATCCAAATTTTGTGTGACATAATGATTTTTGGAGCTTTGAATTACCAGATATATATTTTACCTAAAACTTAATTAAAAATAGGAAGAAGGTAAACAATCTATAATGTAGTTGTGCAATGATCTTTTAGTACTTGAGTGTATTTGTGAAAAAGTTTGAAAATGTTAACAATGCAAAGTATACAAATATAATTTATAAACAGTGTAAGAAGCTGCAAGAATTTATTAAACAATATCCCAAATAACGTATTTCTTCAACTGATACATCATTAAAAATTCCTTATCTAGCATAGATATTGTTTCTTGCATACATATGTTGCATCTGATTCTGTTGGTTAAATGAACATTTTGAGCCTCTCAAAATATAACTTTGTCCAATATAAATTTTCTGCAATTTTCTTTATAAATAGACTGTGCCAGTCTTATAGATACATTGTTCTTGTAATTCTTAAAATTACCAATAACTGTTGAATGTATGTGTGAGACTTCTATTCTGTGGCTATGCTTCCTGAGATATAGTTTTTTTGAAGTCTTTGTATGATCAATGCAAAACTTCCTAAACACTAATAGAATAGCATTATGATAGAAAAGACAGCTGTTTCTGTAGCAATGGTTCGGTGGACAATAGACTTACTGAGATAACTTTTTTGTACAGCATTTATATTACAACATTCCAAGAAATAATAATATTCAGAAGTGTTTAATTTGTTTTTATGTTAATTAATTAAAGATATAAGAGCCTTGGTGGCACAGCAGACTAAAGCACTGTTAAGTAACACCAGCTGCCTGCAATTACTGCAAATTCAAATCTCACCAGGCTCAAGGTTGACTCAGCCTTCCATCCTTTCGAGGTAGGTAAAATGAGGACCCGGTTTGTGGGGGCAATAAGCTGACTTTGTATAAAAAAGAACACCGCTTGGGGGGGCCGAAAGCCCTACTAAGCAGGTATATACAAAAGTATGAAGGCTATTGCTTAATGCATTGTAAGCTGCCCTGAGTCTCCGGAAAAGGGCAGCATATAAATCGAACCAATAAATAAATAAATAAGTATTAATAAATATTAAAAGCACTACAGATAATGCAGAGTCATATTGGAACGATATAAATATTTACATAAAATAGAAATAGCATAACTCTCGGTATTGAAAACTCGTGCACTAAAGCGATGCTTATATAAATGATTAAGCAGAAATATGAGGAAGAGAGAGCATGAGCACTGTCTGATTTGTCAGGGAGTTCAAAAGTCTGAGAATAGCAGTAAATATATGTTAATTACATTTTATATTATATGGACCTAAGAATTTAGGTTTACTATTAAGGAAACAAACTTTGGATCCCGTTTCTACTGTGATTAAGGGAAGGAGGTTACCAATTTCAACTTCAGATTTTATTTGATCACATTTACTGCTATGTTTAAGATACAAACTGGCTGATTTTAATTTGTTTTGATTTAAAAGACTATTCTTCATCTAGAGATTTAATTTCAGTGAACTGTATTTAACTAATTCCAAATTATTTAGATTTTAACATAATCCTTGAAATGCAGTCAGTTAAAAATAGAAGCAGAAGATTCTAATTTTTAAATGAAGAGAACTTTAGAAAAGAAAACATAATTTATTATTATGCCTGGACCTACCTACTTGCTAATACCTGCAACCAACTTTCCCCCCACCTTTGTATTGGTCTGTAATAAATAACGGTGTTTTTGAGGAATCATGACTAGTACCCTTTAGAAGTACAGAAAGGTAGAAACCTTGTGGGCATACAATTATTGCTGTAGTTGTATATACCATGTATGAAATATAACTGATCTGGATTGTTATGTAATTCTTAATATACTATATGTTTAATTGTTTACCTTTGATTTCTCTTTTTTCTCATTTGTAATAGGAAAAGGTTCTCTAACAAGTGGAAGATGGGATACTTCTACTTGGGGGACCAATACAAATGTAGAAACCCAAAGTCAGCCAATATCATCTCCTGCAGCCATTACCAAACCAGTTCAGAGAACTGTGGTAGATGAATCAGAATCTTTCTTTAGTGCCTTTCTCCCACCAACCGGTGTCCAGAGCATACAGCAAAGCCCAGTGGTTTCTAAACCACCTGCCAAATCGCAGCATCCCAAAGAAGAAATAAAAAGCACACTGCAGGAACCCCTGCATATTGACCTGCCAGAAACAGAAACAAAAGACTTTTCTGTAGAATTGAAGAGCTTTAACGATGATCAGGAAAGCTTAGAGGAAACCAATTCAGAACAATTCAATCTCACCAACAGCTATGATGGAAACAATAGTACAAGCCCTTGTCAAGAAGCATCTCAGAATGTCACAGTAGCAGAATCCACCTCTGTTGTGAAGTCAGATTCAAGGAGTGATAGTTCTGGGCATGAGAATGATATCTCTCCACAAGCTCTGCCAGCAGACACAAAAAATTCAAGTTTGGACACTAAAGAGCGAAAAAGCGAAGACAGGCAAAGCAATACCCCTTCACCTCCAATTAGCACTTTCTCCTCAGGGACATCTACAACTAGTGATATTGAAGTTTTGGACCATGAAAGTGTTATAAGTGAGAGCTCAGCTAGTTCAAGGCAAGAAGGAGCTGATTCAAAAGCCAGTCTCCATCTGATGCAAACCTCCTTTCAGCTTCTGACGGCATCTGCTTGTACGGAATACAATCGCCTAGAAGACTTTAATAAATTGACAGAGAGTTGCTGTTCCTCTGATGCTTTTGAAAGAATAGACTCCTTTAGTGTACAGTCTTTAGACAGTCGTAGCATAAGTGAAATAAACTCGGATGATGAATTATCAGGTCGGGGGGGTGTTTCAACTTCCATCGCTGTCAACTCTCCAACTCCAAAGTGTGATGAGACTGAACCTTTAAAAAGTATGTCTGATGAAATCGTAACTGAAAGTCTTGTTGTTCCCATGGAAGAAATGGAAATGGAAGAGAGTGGACGAAGTGCAACCCCTGTTAATTCTGAACAGCCCGATATCTTGGCTATTTCAGCGCAGACTGATGAAGAACAAAGTCAGAAGGAAGGGAAAGTGGTACTTCAGTTCTCAAATGAAAAAATGTCTACTGTACAATGTGAAAAACAAGAGCTTTGCAAGGTAATACTTATTTTTATTTTTGTCCTCTTAAAATGGGTTATATCATGTCTCTCTAATGGAAAGCGGTGTGGCATTCTTCTGCTCAGACCTGTTTTGATGTGGTTTCTGTTTTATCTGCTTTTTATTTTTATCACAACTGGTTGCCATTGTTAATTGGATCTTCTATCCTTATTAAGTGATGTCATGTGATTTGCAGCTTCCTACCAGCTTCCCTCTTGACTTTGCTTGTCGGAAGCCAGCAGTGAAGGTTGTAACATTGTTAAGCATGATGTTAACCATTCCTGATATCCTGTTACTCTTCTCATTAACTTTGCTTGTTGGAAGCCAGGAGTGAAGGTTGCAAATGGCGATTGCATCACCCCAGAACTCTGCAACATTTTATTTGGAAGTCAATCACCAAGTGCCCTGATTACAATCACGTGACACTGTGATTGTTGTAAGTAGGAGGCTGGTCACTTGTTCAGCACCATTTAAGTACAAACGGTTGCTGAGTGAATGGTTGTTAAGGACTATCTGCAGAATTAATATTATAAAATAACTTCTGTGTCTCCTATTCATATGTGCATTCAATTCTGTGCACGAAATCATAGATGTAAAATGTATATTTGCTTTGGATTTGTTGAAATATATTTGATAAAATCTAAGACAGATTTTATATCCTAGAAAATTGTTCCCTTAGAGTGGAGAGAATATCTTCTTCAATAAAATATTTTATGCCACATATTTTATTCAAGAACCTGTGAATAACTCTACGGAATAAGTTTTTGTGTCAAAAAAAGTGGTAGGTTTCAAGTTTCCAGAGGGCTTTAGAGCTGAGTGAGGCTTGAATTTGAGTCTCTAGACTTTAGCAAAAGTAGATCATTGCATAGTTCTATGTATAGTGATCAGTTGTTTGTTCTGAATAAAAAAAATCCTTTGGAAAGTTTCCAAAGTGTCATAGGTTAAATGTTAAATTTCTTTGTGGCATTAAAGGAAACTTTTGAGAAGACCTCTATGTTTTGGTTTTTACATTAAAGCCCCAAAAGACTTCATTTTTAATAACTATACCATTTTTATAATCTACAGATTATTGATTCACTGACAGAAAAACTAGAGGTGAGGGAAGCACGTCTACTAAGCGTTAGTAAAGAAAAGGCACACTTAGAAGAAACCTGTGATAACCTTAAAGAGTAAGTTTCCTATTCAAAGCATGTTAAAACATTCTGATCCCTTTGGTAAATGGATTTTGATGCATTTTGCGTAAATGATCTTGTGACTGAAATTTAATTTATTATAACTGCTCATTTAAAATCTTTAACAGTTTAAATGAATTAACATAATTAATATAACTGAATAATACAGAATTGATTGGAATCTGTCTTAATAAGGATAAATAGATACATAAGGCCAACATAGCCACAGTTGGTCTCTGATACTACCTATATGAACTGTGTCAAGGAGTTTAATAAGAGCTTTGCTCAATCAAGAAATACGACTGGAAAATATGACTGTGTGAGCCACTGAGTTTTTTCTCTTCAATGGATGATACTCAGTTGACTTTGTCACTTGTTTTAGTACCTTCAGCTTGAGAACTAAAATTTATTTATTTATTTATTGTTTATATTTATATACCGCCCTTCTCCCGAAGGACTCGGGGCGGTGAACAGCCAACAGATAAAACACAAGAAACACAAAATTTAAAAACAGTATTAAAATCCGATTAAATTAATTTGGCCCACAATTAAAAGCACCCCTGTATTAAAACCCATAATTAAACAGTTTAAAAATTAAAACAATTTAAAAGAGTTAGGCCAGCCTGGCTTGTTGGAATAAAAACATCTTTAGGGCACGGCGAAAGGTGCGTAGATCCGGGATCTGCCGTATCTCCGGGGGCAGCTTGTTCCAGAGGGTAGGTGCCCCCACAGAGAAGGCTCTCCCCCTGGGGGCCGTCAGTCGGCATTGTTTGACCGACGGCACCCTGAGGAGCCCCTCCTGTGGGAGCGTACTGGTCGGTGGAAGGCTATCGGTGGCAGAAGGCGGTCTCATAAATACCCGGGTCCTAAGCCATGGAGCGCTCTAAGGTGGTAACCAATACCTTGAAGCGCACCCGGAAGACCACTGGGAGCCAGTGCAACTCGCGCAGGAGAGGTGTTACATGGGAGCGCTGAGTCGCCCCCATAACCACCCGCGCGGCCACATTCTGGACCAGTTGGAGCCTCTGGGTGGTCTTCAAGGGGAGCCCCATGTAGAGAGCATTACAGTAGTCCAGGCGGGACGTGACGAGAGCATGAGTGACCGTGCGTAAGGCATCCCGATCCAGAAAGGGACGCAACTGGCAAATCAGGCGAACCTAATAAAAAGCCCCCCTGGCCACAGCCGTCATATGCTCTTCTAAAGACAGCCATGTATCCAGGAGGACGCCCAAGTTGCGAGCCCTCTCTGTGGGGGCCAACAACTCGCCCCCAATAGTCAGCAATGGCACCAACTGACTATATCGGGATGCCGGAAACCACAGCCACTCGGTCTACATTTTGTGAGCTATTGTTTTATATATGTATTTTTAGAAAGATTTCAAATGTATGTCAGAACACGCATAATTATTTAATTATTTTATGTTTAGTGAAATCTTCAAAATGAAAGAAGAGAATAGTAGTATTTCATCTCTTAAGGAAGAATTTGCTCAACGAATAGCAGATGCAGAAAAAAAAGTTCAGCTAGCATGCAAAGAAAGAGATACAGCTAAAAAGGTAATTGCCCTTTGTTTATGAGTGAGATGTGTTAATCTCTGACCCATATTATAAACGTTATTTTGGAAGCCACCATAAATGATGTGAAATAACTATAAAGCTGGAGAAATGTGATGTTTGGTAGAAAAAAGATGTGTGTAGTATTGGTTGACCAGACCTCACTGGAAGAATTCTGATATAATTATGGAAATACTTCAAGTTTCAGTACAATTTAAAATATTTCATACACCTCAAGAGAAAATCATAGACCTGGTAGAGGTCATTTAAGTCATCAAATCTAACAATTTGCTAAGTTCAGAAATAGAGATAAACATGTTCGTTGGCTCCATTACTGAACTGTGTTCTTTTTTTGGAATACCGTATTTTTTGGAGTATAAAACGCACCTTTTTCACCCCTAAAAGGGGGTGACAATTTAGGTGTGTCTTATACACCGAATGTAGCCCCGCCCAGCCACTGGCCCACACCCTTTGGCCTCTGCCTCCCAGCAGTTACCTCCTTGCAGCAAGCAACAAGAAAAAAACCTCCTTTCAGCTTCAGCACAGCCTAATTAGCACAAGTTGATTGGATCGGCCTCCCGACTCTCAGCTGTTTTGCTGTCAGCTGTCTTGCGCAGGCCTTTGCTGCTTGCTGCAAGGAAGAAAATTGCTGGAGCAGATTTTTTCCCCCTTGTATTAATCAAGCTATGTTGAAAACGAAAATGAAAGTAAAGCAGGCTGCTGTTTGCTGCAACGAGGCAAAATTGCTCAGAGGCAGAGGGAGATTTCTTTTTCTTCTTTTCCTCACCAAAAAAAATAGGTGTATCTTATAGTCCAATGCATTTTATACTCCGAAAAATACGGTATTTTCCTAAACATAGTCATAATTTCTTTCTATAATTACTTCATGTCCTGCCTTCTATGGTGATGCAGAATAGGGCTTAAATTTCTTTGTTCTTTCAGATACTTAAAGAGTAGTATTATTTCTATTCTCCTTTCTTCTCAAGGCTCAGTATATTTAGTTCCTTCTGTCTCTTTTCCTAGGATTTCATTTCTGGTCCTCTTCTATGAATTTGTTCTAGTTTGTCTGAATTTTTATTTTTGACTTACTTTATATTTTTACTTGGGTTATATACTGCTCCAATCGTAACTTTGTTCTGAGCTTATACACCCAATACAATAAAACTCATTTTTTATGACCCTGTAATCCATTAATTCGGGATAATGGAGGGAGCTAGTGTTTATTGGCCGGATACCATTCTTGATGCCACACGGAGTTCACAGCAGGTGCAGATGGGATCAAAGACGACAACTGAGATTCCAAAGGCACACCAGAAAACCCAGCTCTTAATAGCTTTTTGAAAGCTCAGGAATGACTGTTCCAGTAAGAGAGACATTTACTGGGGAGGCCCTACTTCATGAGCCCTCAGATGACACTTTCTTTTTTCAAGTCATGTTTAATGTATACAAATAATATGGATGAACTGTCTTTATCTTAGGAAATAAAGGTTCTCAAAGAAGATCTAGCAACTAGATTGAACAGCAATGAAACAGCAGAATTACTAAAGGAGAAAGATGAACAAATTAAAGAATTATTAGAAGAAGGTGAGTATGAAGTATTATTTTAAAATGGAACTTAGTTAAAGCAAATTGTAATATTATTACTTGTAATAAATGTTTCAACTGCTTGGATAATTTGAGTGGTGCCCCGGAATGTAAAAAGTTATACTCCTCTATTAGATATGCATAAGGTTTAATTAATGAGATCCAATATTTCTTTTCAGGAGAAAAACTTTCAAAACAGCAGTTACAAAATTCTAACATTATTAAGAAATTAAGAGCCAAGGAGAAAGAAAGAGAAAATACCAATACAAAGCAGAATAAGAAAATTAAGGAATTAGAAGAAGAGTTGCAACATCTGAAACAGGTTGGATTAATTTTTAGACTTTTAGACACCATCCATTCTTCCTGGGCTGATTATTTTATTTTTTGTAAATCTTATCTCCTAATGCAGCTTCCAAAAGGAAATGTACTGAAATGCAATGTTGTTAATTTCAGAGCTATTATGGTACAGCTCCAGTTTATATCTCAAGCAGTATGACAGACAAATCAGGGATTTTTCTATAGAAGACAATAGTTTTCTACAGCAGTTTCCAGACTTCCTGACACTGTGGTTCTGTAAAATGATAATTGAATTTGTGCAACTCTCCTCTTGAATAATACTAGTGATTTTATTGAGGTTAAGTTTGGCCAGGAAATTTATAGGCAAAATTAATAAAAGACTAAGTTTCAACTTACTTTCTTGATTTAATTATTTTTAGTAGCATTGTTGCCAGTGGATAGTTTTTATTACTATCCAATGAAACCTTTTCCATTTTCAAAGAAATAGGTATATTTCCATTTCCCATCACTCTGCTGACACCTAATTAACATAGGACTGCCTTATGTCTAAGGATATTTACACATGTAGTATGGTTGTATTACTATTAATTATCCTTATCTTTTCTACAACACTGAGAGCTTCTGCACCAGAGACAAATCACAGCCAATAAAGAATTATTTATTCTATTCTATTCTATTCTATTCTATTCTATTCTATTCTATTCTATTCTATTCTATTCTATTCTATTCTATTCTATTCTATTCTATTCTATTCTACTCTATTTGTCACTGCGTTCTTTTATTTACCAGCTGAGCTCATTATTTCTGGACTATCAGACTTTCCGCAGCTTGCCAAGAATTGTTATCAAAAGCTACCACGCATGTCCATCCACCCACATTCCTTCACACTCTTTCCTTTGTTCTCTTGCCAGAGGTGTTGGCTGCTGAGAAAAGCAGCTGGCACGAACTATTTTCAAAATGTAACAATTACTTTTCTTAGTTAGTGAGGTGTTTTATTTTCTTTATAACAAATAAATGAGTTTTATTAGAGAATACTTCTTCGGGTTTTATTTCAGAATATTGCAACTTGGAGAAAGCCACGATCCATCTCCTCTAATCAGGGTGATTATCTCATAGCCAGGATGGGATCAATCAAAACCCTGACAACTGGTAGCAGAGGATGGTTGATCTATGGCTTTTTCCTTGTTTGTTACTTTTGATGATAAGCGCATAGGCAATTAGTTTTTAGCTACTGAGGTACGCTAATTATTTTTGCTAAGATGCCGAAACAGAAGAAAAAGAGTAAAATGAAGCCCAGAGCTTTATCCTCTTCGGATGAAGAGCAGGAGATAGAAACACTCTCAAGATTCCAGCCTCTTGCTACAGCCACGCAACTGGAACAAGAAGCCGTGGGAGAAGGAATGGAGGGAGATAAGACAGAAGCTGTTTTTGAAGATAATGAATTACGACTGAGGTCAGTAACATTTTCTTCTGATTTTCCAAGCTCTGAAAAAGTCCTCCCAGAACCTTCTGAATTTGTAACACTTGGTGCAAAGTTTTCACAAACTGCCGAGCATAATTCCTCCCACACACAGAGAGAAACAATTTATTATTCTCCTCGCACTCTTGAGCTCACCCTGGATGAGCTGGCTATGAAATCCTATCGTGAGCATGTAAAATATTATGAAAATGAACTGTCTCAGTTTAAGAGGGATTTGTTTATGCTTGAGCAAGATAACACAGAGCCTCGTGACTTAAGACTCTATAAAAGTGCCATCTTGTCTTCTTCCTCAGAGCCAAAGACACACCCCCTGGTGGATTCTGTGTCAGGCCAATTAAAACAGAGAGCAGTGCACACATCACATGAAAGTCTCCCTGATCAAGTTACATGTAAACCTGCCACGCAGTCATTTCTTGTAACTGGGCTGCCCGAAGCTAAAGGTGCAGCACCATCTGCTGGCGAAAGTAATTTACTACAGGAAGCTGAAAGAGAACGGAGCTTAGATGAGCACTATGAATTATTGCAGCAAATGCTAGCAAACGTGTCCTTCGCTCGTTCAAATGTTCAAGCTGAAATGCCACAAGTGTCTCCACAGACCCCATCTCCAACACTCCCTGGTGGTGCTGGTGTCTTTTTAGATGGAACACAATCACGCTCAATGCAGCAAAGGCAAGCTCAAGCACAAATGGCAGCTGGAATACAGCACATTCCATATGTGCCCCAGCCACAAATGCCTGCATATGTGCCACAGCCACAAGTGCAAACAGGGCCAGCTCCTGGTCCACCTCCAATGGCACAACCAAGACCATTTTTAGGTCCACAACAGGCACAGCAAATACCACAGGCATTTCTGCCAGCACAGCCAGCATACCAAATGCATGCTCTTTACCAGGCATTTTCTGTCTCTCCACTAACTGGTGAGTCAAAACTAAAAATGTCAGGACATAATTATAAAGCCTGGGTCAGTGAGATTACACTATTGCTTCTTAGAGAAGGCACTCACTGCATGATTTTTAACCCTCCTGCTCAGCCTTGGACTTTTGCAATAAGAGATTTAGAGATAAGAGCTCGCACAACATTATTGATGTCCATGGATACTGAACTGCAGGTCACTTTTCCATCAAATACAACAGCCCGGCAAATTTGGGCTGAATTGGAAAATTGCTACAGGCCTGTCTCAATTGACTCTTCATGTTTACTCATGTCTGAACTCCACGGTTCAAGATTGAAACCTGGTGAACAAATTGGAGGGCATTTGACCAAACTGAAAGGACTGAGAACAGAATTGAGAGAAAGAGGCCATAACATTGAAGATATTCAAATGATCAGCATCATTATTAACTCTTTGAATTATGAATGGAAAGATGCTGTTACAAAAATTAACCAAGTCCCAATTGCTCAACGCACAGTGGACAATGTCTGTAGACTTTTAATTGAAGAAGAGGCATTCATGTTGGCCACGCCACATTTGAGAGGACCACCCGCATCAAGAGCTCCAGCTAGGCGCCCCTTCCGAGGAAGGACCTACACTCCAGAGATGCCAAGATGCAACACCTGCAATCATGTGGGACATGCCACCCGGGATTGTCCCCAATGAGTTCCAGCTCCCGTCACATACCAGCCCAGAGGAACAGATTCCAGAGGCAGAGGCAGAGGCAGAAGACAAGGTCGTCGTGGTCCCCGGCGTGATCCACAAACTCCACTCGCCACATTGGCTTTAACCAATGATCCACAACCTCAACCAGAGTACGACAGACGACTTCTGTGGACTTTGGACAGTGGTGCAGCATTGCATGTTACCTACAGAAAGGAACTTTTTACAGAGATGCACGAGCCTGAACCTGAACTACGGGAACTTTATTCTTTTTCAAATCATCCTTGTCAGGTCAAAGGAAAAGGTACTGTTTATGTTGAAGAGCTCGATGCATTCATTCCTGATGTTTATTACATACCAACAGCAACCAGTAATTTGCTTAGTCAGAGTCATTTGTCTAGAATGTTAAAATTCCAGGTTCACCACCTTGAAAATGCAAGTTACATAGTTAAAGATGGAGATATTGTTGCTGGAACCATGTTAATTGGTGATGTTTATTACTTAAAGCCAAAGCCTAAACCGCAAACACAGGCAAGTATACAAACTCCAAAAAGAGAAAGCACAGGCCCAGAGAGAGATGCTCCAGTGAGAGATCCTGTTGCTATTCCAAAGGTTCCTAAAGCCAACAAAAATAGAACTGGTAAACAGGTCGCTCAGAGCAAGCCTGAGGTTCCGCATAAAAATGTTAATGTTGAGAATTCACTAACTGGTAAACCTTTGCATTCTAGGTGTATCCACAAATGGCATAGAAGATTGGGGCATGCCAGTTTCCGTGTTCTTAGGAAGATGCCGGAGTTCGCAAAAGGTTTGGATCTAAAGGGGTGTAAGGTGTTTTTGGATTGTGCTGTCTGCAAAAAGGCCAAATCCAAAGCAGCAGCCATTCCCAAACACGCTACACGCCTGTCAACACGCATTTTTGATTTGGTTCACATTGACATAGTTGGTCCTTTTCCGCCATCATTTGGTGGTAGAAAATATTTTCTAACAATTGTTGATAATTACTCTAGATATGGATATGTATATCCTATGAAAGAAAAATCTGAGACCTTTCAGATCTTTAAAGACTTTGCAGCCCTTGTTTCTACCCAACACCAAGTTCGCATCGCCAGAATCCAGAGTGATCATGGTGCCGAATTCATGTCTCAGCGTTTCCAGGACTGGATGCGTAAGAATGGAATTCTTCATCAGACGTCGGCGCCTGGCACACCGGCTCACAACGGAGAGGTACTGCAAACCATGATGCGTTGTCTCCTAGAAGACGCCAACCTTGATATGATATACTGGAGTGAAGCTATAAAATATGCAAATTACATTGTCAACCGTACTTGGAGCAGTGTAACAAATCAGACTCCTTTCTTCATGTTGTATGGCTACAAGCCCGATCTTAAAAACATCCATATTTTTGGTTCATATGCTATGGTGAACATTCCCTTAGCTCAAAGAAGAAAAGTCCAGCAGCAAAGAGACTGAGATTTATGGGTATTGATGATAACTCAAAATGGAGCAAATTTATTGACTCTAAACATGTAATTGTGATTTCCAATCTGCTAATTTTGAGGAAGATATTGACTGGTCCAGGATTCATTCCAATGATCCTGGAGTTTATTTTCCTAGAGATGATACTGCTGATGCCACGCAGATTGATGATCAAGATTCCACCAATTCTTCTCAACCCGATGTTCCGTCTTCGCAAGCTGCGGATGCTGACGCTAGCGACGAATGTGAGGACGAGGACGAAGCAGAAGAAGACTGGACAGTTGTTCCGAGACATTCCAAGAGGGCCACAAAAGGAATCCCTCCACAACGATATTCTTGGCAACTGACAAAAGCACCCTTGCCTTTGATTTGCAATGTTACACTTCCGCCTGATAATTTCACACAAATCAAGCAGCTTCCTGATTCAGAGCAAGACAAATGGTATGAAGCAATGCAGTTTGAAATGGACAGTCTAAAGAAACTTAAAGTGTTTACACCTGCAAAAACTCCAGCAAACAAAAAGGTCATTGGCACTCGATGGGTCTACAGAATCAAAAAGAAACCAAATGGTGAGTCATTGTACAAGGCCAGACTTGTAGCTCAGGGTTTCGCTCAACGTTATCCTGAGGACTACACAAATACCTACTCACCAACAGTTCGAACTGAGAGTGTAAAAATTGCTTTAGCAACTGCAACTGTCCTTGGTTTAGAAGTTTTCCAGTTTGATGTTGACACGGCTTATCTACATGCAGACCTAGATGAAGAGATCTACGTGAGAAGTCCTCCAGGATTCTGACAGCAAGAAGGGGATACCTGGTTTCTAAACAAAAGTCTTTATGGTCTGAAACAATCTGGTTTAATGTGGTAATTATGTCTTACTGACAAACTAAATTCAATGGGCTTTATTAAGTCCGAAACTGATGAGTGCGTGTTCACAAAAAGATCTAACAATGCATATGAGATAGTTCTTGTTGATGATATTGTTTATATTGGTCCAAATAAGCAAATGAGTGAAATTTTTGCCAAAGCTTTGCAGAGATACTTCACACTGAAATCATTAGGTCATATTAGCACTTATTTAGGTGTTCAGATTGAAAAAACACAGAAGGGGTTTAGTCTTTCACAAGAAGATAAAATTGAACAAATTTTGCATCATTGCAACATGAAAGATGCTAACACAACAAAGACACCCATGCAAACAGATTTTCACAACTTGACACAAGAAGCAAGTCCTGAGTTCGAGGATCAAACACTTTATCGTTCAGTTATTGGGTCACTATTGTACATTAGTAGTTGGACCAGACCCGACATTGCACTTAGTGTTAATCTCTTATCTCGACACGTAGGTAGGGCAAAACAGTTACATTGGACATGCATTAAGAAATTGAGATACCTAAAACACACCAAACATTTGAAATTATTGTTAGAACCAACACATACTGATTATGCAGAATTGTGTTGTTATGCAGATTCTGATTGGGCAAGTGATAAGAAATCACGTAAAAGTACTTCAGGTTATATGATGTTCTTAAATGGATGTCCTGTTTATTGGCAAGTGCGTAAACAGAATTTTGTTTCTTGTTCATCTACTGAAGCTGAATATGCTTGTGTTTCAGATGCATGTAATTCTCTAACTTGGTTTGATGCTTTAGTCACAGATATCTGGACACACCCGATCCGACCGATCACCGTGATGGAAGACAATGAATCGGTGGTTTATATTTCTGAATCTCATTTTACAGGTTCTAGGTCCAGACACATTGACATCCGTTATCAAAACATAAAACATTTAGTGAAAAAAGGTTTTGTCAATATGTACCTACACATGATCAAATTGCTGACATGCTCAACAAACCACTCCCAGCAGCTCAACACGAGTATCTGCGCAAGAAGATGTTCCTTATTTGATGATGTACCTGATGTTCGCTCAACTGGCAAAGAAGGGGATTGTCACTGCATTCTTTTATTTACCAGCTGAGCTCATTATTTCTGGACTATCAGACTTTCCGCAGCTTGCCAAGAATTGTTATCAAAAGCTACCACGCATGTCCATCCACCCACATTCCTTCACACTCTTTCCTTTGTTCTCTTGCCAGAGGTGTCGGCTGCTGAGAAAAGCAGCTGGCACGAACTATTTTCAAAATGTAACAATTACTTTTCTTAGTTAGTGAAGTGTTTTATTTTCTTTATAACAAATAAATGAGTTTTATTAGAGAATACTTCTTCGGGTTTTATTTCAGAATATTGCAACTTGGAGAAAGCCACGATCCGTCTCCTCTAATCAGGGTGATTATCTCATAGCCAGGATGGGATCAATCAAAACCCTGACACCTATTCTATTCTATTCTATTCTATTCTATTCTATTCTATTCTATTCTATTCTATTCTATTCTATTCTATTCTATTCTATTCTATTCTATTCTATTCTATTCTATTCTGGTCCGGTCCATTCCATTGCATTCCATTCCCTCCCCTCCCCTCCCCTCCCCTCCTCTCCTCTCCTCTCCTCTCCTCTCCCACTCTATTAGAATAGGTAAAAATATTGACCTTTGTCCATACATATAATTTTAAAGATTATGAGTACTACTGTATGCCAAGTGGAAGTCACCAATATGAGGGAGCTATTTTCTTGTAACAATGTTACTGTGATTGGCAGATTGCTTGGTAAGGACATAGTCACACTTCACAAACTTCCAAGCATCCCTCCCTTTGTCTGTACAATCCTGATCTTTAAAAAAAACCAACCTTAATATTTTATTGTTTTACAATCTCCAATAAAATTGCTCCCAATCCTCCTAGTTTGAAAGTACCCAGTTTGTTCATCAAGAGAAAGTAGATTTTGAGGCATATGGATCCTAGTCATGAGAAGAGCTAACTATATGAGGTATTTTGAATTAGACATTGAAGTAATGCTTTCACATATACTTTCATACATTTGAAAAGGCCTTCAGATTGAGCAGAGAATGAGGATATACTCAAATCCATATTGTTCCAGATCTCTAGATTTTGCAATGGGAAACATTTAGTCTTTAGACTTATATCACCAACTTGTGGCTTCCCAAATTATGATTAGCTTATTATTTAAATTTTCTTTCAGCTGTAGCCAATAAAACAGCAGGCACCTCCCTTCCCTGATACTATTGACTACATAAGACAGGAAGTAGGGAAGTGAGAGACACAGAATTATAAAACAACTGGCGATTATAAAACTGTTCTGGCGATGAGGAAAATGTAATATATTTGTCCCATTTGTTCTCTATCAGGGTAATTTCTTTTTTTGGAGGCACAAATGCAGAAGTGTACAGTATACTCTTAACAAGAGCTGTAAATACTGTTGACTGAGATTGCATGTAGTAACACTTATATTTACTGAGCTTTGGTGGAATAGCATTGGAAATGCAAAAATGATACTGCTATTCAGAGATTTATTTTGGGGGCATTGGCAAACTGTTGTATTTTTATAGCTGTTGCAAAAAAAAAAAAAAGCCAGGTTCATAATACTAAATCTGAGCATTTATATGCATTATAAAGGCGCTTCTCTTAAATGTACAGGGAAAAAGAACTATATATTTTATTGCTGCTATTCTTGGGCTGTTGACATAAATCCAGCTAACATTGTTTGCTTCTTGTTGGGTTTGGTGTGACAGTTGCCTGCAAAAAGTATTTTTTTCTGCCTTCCATATTTTTCAATGGCAGATTTTTTATTTTACCTTTTCAACGTTTTATTTTAAATAATTTTGAAGGCAATATTTCTATATGTTGGGTGCAGACACATTCAACATGAGGTATGGTGTCTCTTACTTTTATGACTCTAGAGCAAAACAATTCCAATAGTGGTTTATTTCAGGCTTCCATTGTTCTCTTTTGCAGAACATTTGAAATAATTTGAATGCTTTTGCTCTATCTGAATGCATGGTACTCAGGAAGTCACAATGAAAGTTTATTTTCAAAAATCAAAACAAAACATTTTTCTTTTTCATGAAAATGTCTAAATTTAAATGGGGCTAAATAAATTGATAAATCAATACATGCTTAACTGATTAAAAACAATCTGGTTTGTTTTTACTTTTTTCTGACATACAAAATAAATAATTTTTTGGAAATACATGCACTTTTTAATTTGCTTTTAAAAGTGATGGAAGCACATCAGTTGCAGCAAAATTGTCTTCTGCTTTTGTCATACTTACAGTATTTTATACAACAATTAAATATCTGGCTGTTTTGTTTCCACTGCTTACTTTTCTAACTATGTTTTTGCATTCAAACAAAAATGGTATTCTGAAAGTCATGCCTAAAGTAATTTCAATTGTTTCATAGATTAAAAACTATAAATTAGATGGTTATAGCTTTTTTTTATTGCAGGTGTTGGATGGCAAAGAAGAAATTGAAAAACAACATAGAGAGAACATCAAGCAGCTAAATAGCGTTGTTGAATGCCAAGTGAAGGATCTTACACAACTTCAAGTAGATCTTGAAGATCTTGAAGAAAAAAACAGAAGCTCACAGGCAGCTCTTGATAATGCATACAAGTAAGTCTGTTATTAGAATCAGGGCCAGGAATGCTTTCCCTTTATAGCACTTAAATATTGTGTTGTGCAATATGTGTGCTATGTCATTTTAAAATATCAAACAATATGGTAGGAGTTAGAGAAAGCTGCTCTCATAGAGGATATATTCAACATGATGCATTGATTCTGACCTGCCAGCCTCCAAAAAGGACCTTGAAAAGCTGTCTCCTCCCCCTACTGTATCTCTCCCCTGTCACTGGGCCAGGATAACATATGTGCCCATTTTAAGCTGTAGTTTTTAACACTCTGCAGCCAATATACTCGAATTTTGTGATATTTCAATATTTTATTATTCTATTAATTATAATGGCATGGGGATAGCCATATAAATTGAAATAATAAATAATACATTAATGAAATACAATATTTTATCAATTGTTAAGTTATGAGCTTCTACATGCTCGGCACTTCTTTCCTTGTTTCTTCTTCCTATAGCCCCCAATTTTGATTGTTTGATTATTGCTTTTGGTTGCTGTTTTATATTTTGTGTAGATAATACACAAAATATAATCTCTTTGTTTTATATTCTTTTGGATTTATTTTTCTGCTTTATTGTTTGTTTTTGTATATTATGTTGCCCAAAGCCACTAAGCCACTGAGTTGGGTAACTTTATAAATCTGTCTAAACTAAAATGAACCTGTCTCAGATATTACTTCTAATCCTAGACCACATTTGGAAGATACCAAGATACAAATATTCAGAAAATAATCCATGGGAACATTTTTTTTACAGAGAACTTGCAGATCTTCATAAAACTAATGCTGCAAAAGACTGTGAAGTGCAAGAAGCAGCATTAAGTCACGAAATTAAAGTTAAGGAGGAGCTGGGTTTAATTCTGGAAAAGGCCCAGGAGGAGGCTCATCAACAACAAGA